ATTCCATCATTCCATATTACTGCATTATTCCTCATTACAGCATATTTCACATAACTCAATTATTCCATCTTACTGCTTCTTCCAATATTCCATATTACCCCAATATTCCATATCACCATAGTACTTCTTACTACTTCATTATTCCACTTTATTCCATTATCCATTATTACTTCATTACCCCATATCACTGCATTATTCCATTTTAGTCCATTATTCCCTATCCCCATAGTATTTCTCATTACTTCATTATTCTACACGTCTCCATTATTCCATATTACTCCATCACTCCATATTACTCCATTCTCCAGTATTCCATACTGTTCCATTATTCTCCATTACTCAAATTTTCTCCATTATTCCATATTACTGCATTATTCCACAGTATTCTATTATTTCATATCACTCCATTACTCTTTATCACTGCAGTATTTCGTATAACATAATTATTCCACATTATTCCATCATTCCATATTACTGTGTACTTTCATTTTACTGCAGTTTTCCATGTTGCTCTTGTTACATCATCCCATTATCTTTTGTTACTGAATCAAATCATATGATCCTGTTTAACTGATGGAATGATTGGAGGATTAAATGACTGAACTGATTGTAACAAATACTCAGGGCTTCCAGCTCCGAGGAGAAGAGTTCTCCTTCCTTTCTTGATTAAAGTGCTACTTTACACACACAGACTGTTCTACGTGTCACAGACGTATAATTATACATTTATAACCTCATTAAACTGCAGTCAGGTTACAGTATATATACATATTCACCATCATTACCTACTCATCACTACCGTTCACGGTGTGGCTTAAAGTCAGCGTGGGTGTAGAAATCATAACTCATGGTGTGAGACGTGATATTTTTGGTTAATAATATTTGGCCCTGCCCGCTGGAGCATGGTGATGTCATCAAAAATCAGATGAGGTTTTCAAGTTGTTATATTTTGATGAAAAAAAAAGAATTTTCAAATCTTTTAAATGATTTGAAATTATGAATACGACCATTAACACAAACTAATATGGTTAAAAAAAAGGTCAGGTTGCCTTTAAGGGAGAATCCCACCTATTTTTTAGAATTTTAATGGATGGTCATTGTCCAGAGTGGTTTGGTGTGAAATGGTTCAGATGTCTTCACAGCGGTGGTGATAGGAACCAGGGGTCGCCATGACTACAACACACATATAGACATTTTATTAACTATCCAGAACCACCAGTGAACCTACACGAGTCTTCTGAGTTTATATGGAATGTTGATGATGGAAAATAGTGGAAAATCTGAAATAATACGTTTTCTTTGGGGACTATTTTGCCTCACAGCGCCCTGCTTTAGGTATCCCTCCACACTGAATGGATTTTAAAGCCAAAATATTCTCAAAAACAGTCTCAGTCATCAGGCAGTGAATTCATAACCATTTCATGTAGGAACTTTCTGTGAGGGAGCTTTTAGAGGTGGACGTCTGGTTCCTATCACCACCACTGTGAACAGTTCTGACTCGGTAAGTTTATCTAGAACAGAGCGTTTCACACCAAACCACTCTGAACCGCTCTGAATGACTCTACATCTTAACCAGTTAATCATGCAGAAGATTTTGTAAAATTGGTGGAATTCCCCTTTAAATCTCTTGAGATCTGCAGCTCTGCTGTACTTGTTTGTCTGTTTATGTCCCCAAAGTGGGTGTGTTCAGTGAGATCATGCGCAGCACAAAAACCTGATAAAGAGCTTAAGCTGTCTCTGGTTGCTATGGCAACCGACCTATTACCATCCCGACACACAGTTAAAGGGTGTGAAATGAACGCATGTCGCCGTTTGTCACTGCAGAGTGAATGAAAACGCCAGAGAAAGAGAGAAAGAGAGAAAGAGAGGGATGCGCAACGGCTCCGTGCATGCGCGCGCGCGTTATACTGTGAGGAGCTCGGAGCTCGCGCGCCCCTACAGGGCTGGACCCCCCAACCCCCACCCCTGCCCCCCCCCCAAAAAATAACATTCATACAGATATCAGTAATAATCAGACACAAAGCCGCTCACTGTGCATGAAGACGAATCTCTCCGCTCCACCTTAAATGGTGCAGCAGTGATTATTATTCAGGCGCTGTAATAATAACTGCTGCACCATTTAAGGTGGAGCGGACAGTTGGAAAAGGAGGTCGGTCCAGTCACCTCTGTGCAGCTCCTGCAGCGCGCTCTGTGCTGGTTTCGGGTCGGCTGTCCGGTTCTGGCTCGTGCTGCTGACGACAAGGAGCAGGCTGGATGGAGCGCGAGCCGCCATCGCGGACACACACACCGCGGAGGATGACGTCGTGCAGCAACAGCACGAGGAGCCGCCAGCCAATCAGAGCGCGGAGCTCAGCGTCACGAGGCAGACACGCACACACATACTCAGCATCTCTTTCCCTCTCTCTCTCTCTCTCTCTCTAAAATTTATTTATTTATTTAGTTACGTATCGGTTTCTGTAGAATCTTTAGCAGTCTTACAGGAAGTGTACAATAGGAATCCGACAGGAATCTATTAATAAATGCAATAGCATATCCAAGAAAATTCCTATAACATATTCAATAGAATTCCTATGGGATGATCAATAGAATTCCCATACCATATCCAATAGGAGTCCTAAAACATATCTAATAGGATTCCTATAGGATGTTCAATACAATTCCTATAGCGTATCCAATAGGAGTTCTTTGGACTTTGGAATATTTAGTAGTATTCCTACAGTGTATCCAATATCCATTTTTTATTCTTCCTTTTATATTGTTTCACCTTTATTATTATTACTGTCCTGTGCTGTGTGGCTGATACTGGCTACTAAATATCCTTCGGGATCAATAAAGTATCTATGTATCCATCTATATAATTCTTATACCATATTCAATAGGATTCCTAAAGAATGTTCAGTGGAGTTCCTGTTTTTGTTTTTATTTTATTTTTTGTTAACATTTCTCTACAATCCAAAGTGGCCATTGTTTATTCAAAATACACCAAAACAGCTAAATATAAGCCCCTTTATGAGACCCTGAAACATTACATCAATAACCAAACTATTCAAAATGAACACAGACTGAACATCAGCCTCAGACTCTGTAAATCTCCCGGCATATAGAGTTTATAAGCTGCTTATTTGTCGGCATCTTTTCTGATTGTGGTGTAAATGCTGTCCTATAGACTGTTGAGGGGGGTGGGAGCACACATTATGCCGCAGTGCATGCTGGGGATTGTAGTGTAGTGCACTGTGAAACTAATAAGTTCTAATATTGATAGAAATTTTTAATATTTCTGCGGGCTGAGTGGGATTGTGCCACAGGTCTGATATGACCTGCAGGTTCTGTGTCCAAAAAGTTCCTCAATTAAACTTAAAAGTTGTTGAAGATTGTTGAAGATATATTTTTTGAAAAATGAATAATTTGTACTTAATGGCTGTTTTAACTGGAAAGGAAGTAAATGAATGAAGAGTGGGCTCTGATGTTCGTGCAGTAATATAGATAAATAAATAATAATTAAAATAAAAATAAGAAGAAGAAGGAAACCACATACTTCTGTGGGGCCCTTGTGATGTGGGGGGCCGAGTGATGGCTTATAAATAATGACAATTACCTTTGGTCTCTTTATTTTAATGTAAATCCCTAATGTCTTTTATTCTGCTTTTATTGTGTTTTTACTTGTGATAAGCACTTTGAATTGTCTAAATGTGCTATAAATGAACTCATACAGGGAGAAACAGTAACAGGTAATGAATAACAGCCTGAACTGATAACATACATTTAACAAACACATAATGTGGCAGTTTATAGTAAATAACAGCTTTATTAGACTTTATTTAGGATTTATACTGAAATGTGTACACACACACACACACACACACGCGCGGCGGTCTCTTCAGAGACACTTCATGATGAAGAAGTCGCAGGTGGTCCCCAGGGGGCAACCGCACAGTTTACCGATCCTCGCTCCTTTACGGGCAGCACACTGCTCACCTGCATCACACTGAGAGAGAGAGAGACACAGAGAGACAGAGAGAGAGAGAGAGACATAGGGAGAGAGAGAGAGACATAGAGAGAGACATACACAGAGAGATGGAAAGAGAGAGAGAGAGAGAGAGAGAGAGAGAGAGACAGAGAGAGAGAGAAAGACAGAGAGAGAGAGAGGCATAGAGAGAGAGAGAGAGAGACATAGAGAGAGACATACACAGAGAGAGAGAGAGAGAGAGAGAGAGTTAGAGACAGAGAGAGAGAACGACAGAGAGAAAGAGAGGCATAGAGAGAGAGAGAGAGAGACATAGAGAGAGACATACACATAGAGAGAGAGAGAGAGAGAGAGACATACACAGAGAGACAGAGAGAGAGAGAGAGAGACATAGAGAGAGACATACACAGAGAGATGGAAAGAGAGAGAGAGAGAGGGAGAGAGAGAGAGACATAGAGAGAGACATACACAGAGAGAGAGAGTGACTGTAAGTGATGAGGGTCAGTGTGATGTATGTAATATGAGCCGTTTGTCACTGAACTCATGTTTAAAGTTACTCTGGGTTTATGTTTCAGCCTCGTTCATGCGGATCTGGATGTTTTTAAAAATGCAGTTTTTCTCTTTATTTTTAAAACATTGTCGTCCACAGCAGCAGCGTTTTTGAAAATCTTTATGTCCAGTCAGTCCTGCAGAGACGCTTTGCAGCGATGATGGCGGCGATACAGACCCTGCAGACTCTGAGCTGCAGACCTGTGTAACTCTGTACTTCACCCACACTCACACTCCGATTCCTGCCGGAAAATAAAAGCTTAAAAAGTGAAGGAAAGCCCACCTCTCGCCGTGAGGCAGTTTATGTTGCCATGGCTACTCACTCTCACACTCAAGTTGGGACCAAGAGCTATTCCCTTCAGCCCCAGGCCTCGGGCATAATATTAAACCTTCAATACTGACTGAACACTTACACTAATAACTGCTTTAGTTCTAAGTTCTCAAAAAGTATCGAAAAGGAAAAAAGACTTCAGACGCTGAGTCCTCTTGGAAAGAGGGAAAAGTCTCTTCCCTTTATTTGATCATCGGATGGCAAGTGGTCTCCAAGGACCCCTTCTGCAAAATACAGTGTCTGAACAGTGCTTTTTATCCTCTTTATCTGGGGTGATCTGATGTCACCCCATCCTTCTTGTCAATCTTGATGTCTTTAGTCTCCATTAGATAAAAGCCCCTTCATTACTTTGGCCCCTTATTCTCAGATGTATACAACACTCCGTTTTAAAAGGCTGGTCTCGTCCAGTGTGTACCAGTCCATCCCGTCCTGCAGGGTCATTCTTATATGATATCATGCCAGTTCACAGACACCTGCAGGTAAGTTCAAGGAGTTCACTACACTGGAACACACACAGTCTACGGCCTAATGCTTTTCCTATGTTACCCCTTTGAGAGAGACATTAATATTCCCCCTTTTAGCCAAAGCCTAACCTGTCTGATTATTGATTACATGACTAATCTATTTGATTATTAATTAAGGGTGTATTTATTCAAACTTTCCCTTCACTCACTTAATCACAGTCAGTCACTCCCTCATTCATTCTCTCACTCACTCACTCACTGTCTCTCTCTCACTCTGAGATGGTTGTGAATGTGCTGCCTGATGTCTGAGATGTTTTATGATGGTGTTGTGTTCAGGCGGAGGGATACATGCTGGGCGTTTTGAGGTAAATAGTCCCTGCAGAAAGCGTATTGATCTGTCATGTGTTCAGAGGAAGGCGTGTCTTACTGAGGGCAGCTGTCCGAGCTTCTTGGTGGTGCTGGGCAGCTGTTTGTTCTTCAGCTTCTCCAGAACAGCCTGCAGAGCCTCGATCTGACACACAATAATAAACAATAAACAATAAACAATAAGATATTTAATAATGTTTTAATGGTCATGTTTACTTTATTATCATTAATGTTATTGTCATTATGTTAATGTTATTATGGTGTTATTAATATTAATGTTATAATTAAGTAATTGTTATTATTCAACTCAACAAGTCTTTCTCCTGCTGGCTTTTGATGGCCGAGCATAAGTTATAACTATTATTATCATTATTAATATTATTATTATTATTAATTGTATTATTATTAAACTCTCCAAGTCTTTGTCCTGCTGGGTTTTAACAGCCATGTGTATGTTATTATCATCAGTGTAATAATAATAATAATAATAAAAATAATAACTCACCAGGTCTTTCTCCTGCTGGGTTTTGATGGCTGGGTGGACGGAGCGCGTGTCCGGCGAGTCCTCACAGGCGGACAGGATGATGGACAGGGAGAAGGAGGCGGTGATGAGGATGACCCGAGCGCTGACCATGGTGCTGAAACACTGACCGCTCTCTGAAGACGGAGCTCAGACAGCGACACTGAACTTTATAACTGCTCTGACATCACACACAGAAACATTCAGCACTCACACTGACGTCACTGACTGGCTGGTCAGCACAGCGACTCCTTCACCTCAGTGGCCTTTTCCCTCTGTTACATTTACATTACTAATAACAGCACTTTTAAATCAGAGAGTGAACAAACCTGCTTTTACTCTTCAGCTCCTGACTCTCTTTGACTCTCTGCTGAGTTGGTTCAGCTTCTGTTCTGCTTTACTGTCACTTTAAAATCTTATTTTAGACCAAACGGATCCAAAAAGAGAAAAACAGAGTCAAACAAACTTCACGTCTTACACAAAAAGGACTGCAGTGGAACGTCTTAGAACATCCAGCGTCTCTGAGCCTAGAAACTGGCTTCTCATTCCAGCTTTCAGTTCCACCTTAAACGGTGCAGCTGTTACATTCTGGAGCCTCAGCTGCACCATTTAAGGTGGAACTGAACGCAGGAATGAGAATGAGATGAAATTCCACCCAAAAAGCAATTAAGAGCTAAACGCCAGGGACTGAAGTGGATCAGAGGAATAACAGATGACTTTACTCACTGATGCACTCAGGAAGTTCAAATCCATCAGAACTGCACTGAGAACATCTCAGAGCACCTTTAGACTTGATGTAAATTCTATAGGAAACAGTCGTGCTGTAAGTAGTAATTATATTAATGCCTCTTATGATAAAAGCATTAATCTCTGATTCTGTATGAAGTTTTGATCAGAAACAGAAATGAACCAGTTAAAGTGACCATGCTGAATTTCGGACACTGCTGGTTTTGACGCCGTCTGTGTTGACTGAGGAAGCGCTTCTGAATCCGGGTCAATATTGACTCTGACCTTGAGGTGAAGAGGGTCAGCGGCCTTAATTAGCACTGTGGTCAGTCGGCGTTTGGACAGAGATAAAGTCTGACCGCCCGCAGGAAGAGAGCATGTTTGATCATTTCTCTCATCACAGGACATTCATTATTCATCAGAGGATTTCCACCAATCAGAACAGTCCACACTGGAAACAGTGCTGGATTTATTTCATTTAAATGTAGGGCTGATCAATTATGGCAAAAATCATAATCACGATTGTTTTAATCAGTATTGAGATCATGATTATTTAACACGATTACTCGCTGACTTTGGAAACATCATCATTCACTTAATGAACTTTAATAAACTTGTCTTTTTAACAATGGATTCCTTTGAACTTTGAACTGTAAAGAAAAACTAAATGGAAAAAAGATAAATAAGATAAATAAATAAATAAATATTATATAAATATATATACATTTAAGTAAATAATGTAAAAATAATAAATACAAATAAATAATATCACTCATGTTCTAATGCACTTTCACAACCTACTGAAAACTCCTAAACACAAATAAAAATAATAAATAAAAATAAATTACACCAAACTAAACGAGCTGAGTTTAGGGAGGGTCACTGTAAAGGAAAGGGGTGCACTGGGTTTATGACACAAGATGAAACAATAGCATCATTTCAAAACAGAACAATAATCATTTTATCTTGATTATTTTGCTTTTGTAATCATTGGAAGTCAAAATCGTGATTGAAAATAAAATGTGATTAATCGTGCAGCCCTAATCAAACATTCATCATTTCACCTTGAATTAATATAATATATCAACACAACTACTGACAAAAACACAAACTGAAAAACAGTAAGTGTGACCTGTTTAATTCATGTGTAAATGATGCCACATTTGAATAAACTGGACGCTGTAATTATGATGTTTTATAGGTGAGTGAGGACAATATTTTATAAAGAAATCAAACATTTAAACAGTTTTTCATGAAAGTGAGACTCAACAGTCGCTTCACCAAACCTGGAGATTCCCTCTAAACTAAACATATGACTTTAACAGCTGGATTGGTGTGAAGTGTGAACAGAGCGACACTCCTGAGTGACTCAGCATAAATCAAACTTAATCAATAGCTAATCACTAATAGTCACTCTAATACTCCACTAATCACACTTTCACATGGACATCTGTGTGGATGAACCTCTGCATGAAGGCTGACATTTAAACATCATCGCTGTTCAAAACTTTGGAATCTCTTAAAAAAAGTTTGGAATTGCTGTACAAATTTTTCAAATCATCAAATGTTATGATAAAAATAACATTCAGAATTGGTTCTAATAACATTAACAACAGAATGAAGTTCTTGTTCATTCATATGCAGAGTTATTTTAAAAATCTCTTTTGGTATCTAATTGATAATATTTAAACATTTACCATATAAAGTGATTTATATAATAATAATGGGTGGGTAGTGAAGTGTGATTTAGTTCTAGACCCAAAGAAACTGAACTGCAGTCTGAACTGACTCTTCTGTTTGTGCTGATGGGATCTGTTCAGTGCTGTAGCTCATGCAGTTTATTGTTAAAAGTCGTTGTGGTCAGTTTCAGTGAAACCGGCCTGCTCTCTGTGGAGCGTTTGATGTTTGAAGTGGTCAGTGAGATCAATTACAGTCTGCAGTTTCACTCTTTTCTTCTTATTCACTCTCTAATCTACTGAAACAAAGAGCTCTGAGCTCATCATCCTGCAGATAGAGACAGAGAGAGAGAGAGAGAGAGAGAGAGATCGAAAGAGATGGTGACAGAGGGAGAGAGAGAGAGAGAGAGAGAGATCGAAAGAGATGGTGACAGAGGGAGAGAGAGAGAGAGAGAGACAGAGAGAGAGAGAGAGAGAGCACTGACAGTTACCCAAAACAGACCTGCAGGCTCCCTTCACTCACAGCAGAAACCATTGACCCTGTAAACTCTCATGTGGTCCTTCAGCTCATCAACATCATAATCACAGAACCAAACCATGTACAGTGGTCACCACTTTATGTGGCTTTTTAGTATATTTGTCTATTTTACTAATTTTATCACATTTACCTTGTTTTGAGTCCCTTTCCTGTAGTTTTTAACTATGCATTTAAATGCGATGTGTATGAAAGACACTGTATAAGTTTATTATTATTATTATTGTTTACCATAATAAAAATAAAAATAAAAATAAAATAAAATTAGCAGCACTGAATGCCGATTTTATTTCTCCACAAGTGGAGAGTATTTGAGAAAGTGATGATGATGATGATGATAATGATGATGGCTGTAGTGCTGTATGTAGAACTGCAGAGATTTGCATCAGAGATGTTCATATGTGCTGCATCTGGTTATTCTAACAGTGATGAGGTGTATGGTCCTCTACAACACTGTCTATTACACTGTCTGGCCCTCTATAACACTGGGTGGCACTGTAAGGAGCTTTATGGATCTATGTAGCATGGTATAATACTGTGCGACACTATATGGAACTTTCTGTCACTGTTTTTTACTGTGTGACACTGTATGGCCCTCTATTACACTGGCAATGTACAGTTATGTATATTATAGCACTGTATAATACTGTGTGGCACTGTATAGCAATATACAACTGTAACACTGTATGGTAGTATATGACACTGTATGGCCCTGTATGCACTACATAGCAGTAAAATATGCTGTATATGACCCTATTCATCACTATATGGCACTAGACTGCATTGTATGTCACTGTAATGGACTACAGGACATTTTATAACACTGTATGACACTATATTGAACTAACACTGTAACACTGTATGGTTTGTCTTATCTGTGGTTTTTGCCTTTTATTTCCTTTTATCCTTCATATTCCTTAAGCACTGATCAAATGTCAAATTTATAATAAATGACGGTAAATAGATAATTACACTATATCATTTATCATTGAAAGATCAAGCTCTGCTGCTGGTTTTTAAGCTCTAAATGACCTTAAAGCTCCTGAACATCTGTCTGTTTATGATCTCAGATCTGCAGATTCTGACCTTCTGAACTCCTTCAGTAAAACACAGAAAACGTGGAGAGACTCTTTCAGTTATTCTGCTTCTAAACTGTGGAGCTCAGTTCAGCTTTTATTAGACAGTCGAGCTCAGAGCTCACTTTTAATAAACACCTGAAAACGCAGCTCTTTAACTCAGAGCTTCAGTAAAACTCTACGACTCTTTAACTCAGAGCTTCAGTAAAACTCTACGACTCTTTAACTCAGAGCTTCAGTAAAACTCTACGACTCTTTAACTCAGAGCTTCATTAAACTCTACGACTCTTTAACTCAGAGCTTCAGTAAAACTCTACGACTCTTTAACTCAGAGCTTCAGTAAAACTCTACGACTCTTTAACTCAGAGCTTCAGTTAAACTCTACGACTCTTTAACTCAGAGCTTCATTAAACTCTACGGCTCTTTAACTCGGAGCTTCAGTTAAACTCTACGGCTCTTTAACTCAGAGCTTCAGTAAAACTCTACGACTCTTTAACTCAGAGCTTCATTAAAACTCTACGACTCTTTAACTCAGAGCTTCATTAAACTCTACGGCTCTTTAACTCGGAGCTTCAGTAAAACTCTACGACTCTTTAACTCAGAGCTTCATTAAAACTCTACGACTCTTTAACTCAGAGCTTCAGTAAAACTCTACGGCTCTTTAACTCGGAGCTTCAGTAAAACTCTACGACTCTTTAACTCGGAGCTTCAGTAAAACTCTACGACTCTTTAACTCGGAGCTTCAGTAAAACTCTACGACTCTTTAACTCAGAGCTTCAGTTAAACTCTACGGCTCTTTAACTCAGAGCTTCATTAAACTCTACGACTCTTTAACTCAGAGCTTCAGTAAAACTCTACGACTCTTTAACTCAGAGCTTCAGTAAAACTCTACGACTCTTTAACTCAGAGCTTCATTAAACTCTACGGCTCTTTAACTCAGAGCTTCATTAAACTCTACGACTCTTTAACTCAGAGCTTCATTAAACTCTACGACTCTTTAACTCAGAGCTTCAGTAAAACTCTACGACTCTTTAACTCGGAGCTTCATTAAACTCTACGGCTCTTTAACTCAGAGCTTCAGTAAAACTCTACGACTCTTTAACTCAGAGCTTCATTAAACTCTACGGCTCTTTAACTCAGAGCTTCAGTAAAACTCTACGGCTCTTTAACTCAGAGCTTCAGTAAAACTCTACGACTCTTTAACTCGGAGCTTCAGTAAAACTCTACGACTCTTTAACTCGGAGCTTCAGTAAAACTCTACGACTCTTTAACTCGGAGCTTCATTAAACTCTACGACTCTTTAACTCAGAGCTTCAGTAAAACTCTACGACTCTTTAACTCGGAGCTTCATTAAACTCCACGACTCTTTAACTCAGAGCTTCAGTAAAACTCTATGGCTCTTTAACTCAGAGCTTCAGTAAAACTCTACGACTCTTTAACTCGGAGCTTCAGTAAAACTCTACGACTCTTTAACTCAGAGCTTCAGTAAAACTCTACGGCTCTTTAACTCGGAGCTTCAGTAAAACTCTACGACTCTTTAACTCGGAGCTTCAGTAAAACTCTACGACTCTTTAACTCAGAGCTTCAGTAAAACTCTACGACTCTTTAACTCGGAGCTTCAGTAAAACTCTACGACTCTTTAACTCGGAGCTTCAGTAAAACTCTACGACTCTTTAACTCAGAGCTTCAGTAAAATGTTTATCTTTTTCATATGATCTGTGCTTCAGGTGATTTAAATGAATTTAAAATTTTAAATGAAACTCAACTTTCTTTTTTTCTTTTTTATTAACAAAACTGAACTACAATAGAAGAAAATCAAACTCAGCTATAATTTCCTCTGTGACTGTTAAACCTTATCAGCTGATTGTAAAGCATTTGTATGAAAGGTGCTCTATAAATAAAGTTATTATTATTATTATTATTATTATTATTATTACTGAGTAAATAACTTATTGTTGTTTCCAAATACTTGCTGTGATATGTATCAGGTATACTGGGCTGGATTAGTGCACTCTGCTGCTGCTGCTGCTGATGATGATGATGACGATGATGATGATGATGATGATGAAGTTGTTGTGTTTATGTGACCATGTGACAGGTCACGATCTGACCATCCACACGAGTGTCCTGTAGATTAGCTGCTGTTTGTTAATCCTTTTTAAGTTCCACTGTTTCCCATTCACACCTGTATTAAAGGAAGAAGGAGGTGTGAACTGTGGTTCTTTAATCCATCAAACAAGCTGGAATATTAATCATTAACACTCTGACTTCATCAGCTGCATGTGGCCTTTTCCGGGGCAAGTCTCTACACGCCCTTCTGTTTGAACTGTATTAACTATATGGCTCTGTATGAAATATACAGCAGTGCATGCCACTGTATGAACTATATGGTACTGTATGAACTGTATGGCACTGTATGGCACTGTATGGCACTATGTGAACTGTATGGCACTGTATGCCACTGTATGAACTATATGTCACTGTATGTGACAATAATAATGTTTATTCAATACACAGTAATTTCATGCATGTCAATCTGTTTACTTACAGTCTCCAAAGCTCCTCTAACGGCAGCCCAGCGTTAACTGCAGCTCTCGACCTGTTTTATCTAATCAGTACTTCATTATGTTAAATCAGGTGCTCTGAGGAGAACTCGGAACCAAACTTTGTTCAGGGACAAACACTGTCAATCAATCAATCTATCTATCTATCTATCTATCTATCTATCTATCTGTCTGTCTGTCTGTCTGTCTATCTATCTATCTGTCTGTCTGTCTGTCTGTCTGTCTATCTATCTATCTGTCTGTCTGTCTATCTATCTATCTATCTACCTATCTGTCTGTCTGTCTGTCTGTCTATCTGTGTATCTGTCTGTCTATGTATCCACTATTGCCTGCCTACAGAAGGTTCTTTAAAGCTTCATTAATAAAGCCAACGCTTCTATATAGAACCATGAACACTCAAAGAAGCCTTTGAATGATTATAGGGTTCTTAAATGAATAAATTAAATGGTTCTTCAGATTTATGGAGAATGTGCTGTAGATGGTTCTATGTGGAACCTTTTTGAAAAGGGTTCCATGTAGCACCAAAAAGGGTTCCACTATTGTTACAAGTCAAAGGACCCTTTTTTGGTACTACATAGAACCATTTTTGAGTCTGTCTGTCTATCTACGTATCTGTATGGCACGCTATAGACCCTACATTATTGGCTAAAATGGTTCTATGTAGCACTTCTACAACACATTCTTCATCAATCTGAAGAACCATTTCACCATGCAGAGGGCTCTTTGGGTGTTCATGGTTCTTTATAGAACCATTTTCTTTACTAAAGAACCGCTGAAGAACCATCTTTTAAGAGTGTACTTGGCGTTGAGCGCCACTGTTCAGATGTATTTCGTTGTATTTTACTCCAATTCTCCACATGTACCTGTAACACCTCCTCATGGCCACCAGATGGCGTTGATGTATCAGTGAATTAGAAAGCTTGAGTATGAACAGGTTTTGCAGCAGCAAACCAAAAATTTTATATATTTATATATATATATATATATATATATATATATATGTGTGTGTGTGTGTGTGTTTGTGTATGTGTGTGTGTGTGTGTGTGTGTGTATATATATATATATATATATCGTATAACTAACTAAATAGCTAAATAAAGCCTAAACTGTAGGTCTGTCATTTTCCCGTGTAAATAATGTGTGAATGTTTAACTGTCATTAGTGTTTCATCTACAGCGCACTGACTGATAAAGGTGAGAACAGCTTCATTATTAAACTCCTGCCTTTGATGAGTGACATAATCAATCAGTGATCAGCTCCTAAAGAGGCTGATTGGATCAGTCCCCACACACACAGATGGAGGTGGGAGGTGTGTGGCTCCGCCCACAGCTGCAGATATAAAGCTGAGGAGTTCAGAGGAGAGCAGCAGAAACACGGCAGCCTCCAGCAGAGAGGATTACAGGACCACTCTGACCCGGACTGGACTGAGTACTCACGTCTGACTTCACTTTACTCTGGACTTTACTGTGAGGATTAGAGGCGAAATGACTCTGGAGGAACTGGTGTCCTGCAGCACAGACGCAGAGTGAGTACACCAGCAGTATGAGTGTGTTTATGAGTGTTTGTGTGTGTTTACCTTTTGTTGGGTCCATGAACATGTCTGCTCTCCATATGGAAAGAAATGCTTTACCCTCCAAAAACTGCAGGAAAAAGTAGGGGGGACTAATTTTCAAATGAATAATGTAAACAGTCGTTCAGAGTGGTTTGGTGTGAAACACTCCGTTCTAGATAAACTTACCGAGTCAGAACTGTTCACAGTGGTGGTGATAGGAACCAGACGTCCACCTCTAAAAGCTCCCTCACAGAAAGTTCCTACATGAAATGGTTATGAATTCACTGCCTGATGACTGAGACACTGTTTTATGATAGTTTTGAGAACTTAAACTTGTTTAGTTTCTCTGAAACAGATATTTTTACAACAAATCAATCTGGAGGACCTCTGAATTGTGGAGAAATTTGGAAATACTGGTGGAATTCTCCTTCAAGCATGTGTGTTTATGGAGTGTATTGTAATCGCATTGTGTGTGTGTGTGTGTGTGTGTGTGTGTGTTTCAGGATGCAGAGTGTGTGTGACTGTCTGGAGGAGCTGCTGAAGGCCGCTCGTGATCAGGAGCGTCTGACGGTCGGGGTGTACGAGAGCGCCAAACTCATGAATGCGTAAGTTACACAAACACGGAAACACCTGGAGATGCACACAGAGGGTTAAACTGGAGTCTGAAAGGTGGAACATCTCGTTGATTATCAGCCTTCGGTTTTTCAGAGACAGAAAGAAAAACCAGCACAGAGCAGCAAAACCAGCATATGTTGTGTTTTGGATGCAGGTATTCTGGTCAACCAGCATGACCATGCTGGGGTGACCAGCTAAACCAGAGCCAGACCAGCTCTAGAACAGCACAGACCAGCATGAAATGCATGCAGGTTTGTGCTGTTGTTTCAGCAGGGACTTAATGGTTCTATGGTTTTTCAGCAGGGCAGTAATGTCAGTGCTGTTTCAGTGCGGTGACCATGGTGGGCCTCTATAGATGTGGTTCCGCTGCTTTTAAAATACTGATAGTATCTACAATACGCTAGAAAAGCGCTCTGTAGTTTATCACAATACAGTAAAGATGGCCACATCACCCACTCCTACTGAAGAACAGCTGTAATCGTTATTTTGATATTTATAAAACTAGCTTAGCCACAGATTTTAGCTACTGCAGAGCCACAGCGCAGACAGCAGCAGTTAGCTAGCGTTTATATGAAGATGGTGTCAGAACCAGTGTGAATTCACATCACGGTAAAACAGGTATAGTTGGGATAAAAGTTAACTAACCAGCTGATCTGTGATTATTACAGTGATATTACATCTGACTACATTAAATAAGATGATGATGAGGGATGAAGGGTGTTAGCTACAGAAAGCTAAAGGCTAACTAGCCTTAGCAGTCTCACTGTATTTGGATAGTTCACTATAGATTCTCTACAGATATTCAAACTGTTAACAAACTATCTGCTGAAACTCAGTTGATTATAAACAGTGGTGGGGTCAGGGTGAGGATTTGGACCAGGGTTAAGGCTAAGAGCAGGGTTAGGACTGGGTTTAGGTTTTGGATTATGGTTAAGGTTGGGGTTAGGATTAGAGCAGGTATAGAGATAAAGACAATTAAGCATCTAAAGTGGACTATCTAAATAAAGTGTTGCTGCCTTTTCTGCTGTAATGAAATGAGGTTTTGAAAAACAAACAGTGTAAAACATACAGGGTGCATGCTGACCACATGACTCACTCTCTCTCCCTCTCTCTCTCTCTCTCTCTCTCTCTCTCTCTCTGTCTCTGTCTCTCTGCAGTGACCCGGACAGTGTGGTGCTGTGTGTGTTAGCGTGTGATGAGGAGGACGAGTGCGACGTTGCGCTGCAGATTCACTTCACTCTGATCCGGGCGTTCTGCTGCGAGGCCAGAGTGGACATGCTGAGAGTGTCCGGCATGAGGAGACTAGCAACAGTGCTGGGAGAACCACGAGAGCGGGACCTGCACTGCATCCTGGTCACGGTGAGGGTCACGGGGGGAGGGCATTATAACGCTCAGGGTCACACTGAGGGTCACTCGCACTCACAAAAGTCAGATTCATCCAATCATTGGGGGACCAAAGTACAACCCACGTTACTAAATGTTATTCTGCATATTGCATGCAATTACACATTTCCACCACAGGGGTCTCCAAATCCCCAAATCCTACATAGTGTTGCTTTGAAGAAAACTGAGCAACTGTATGTGTCATTATAAACAGAGAATAATTAGTCCTGTTTAATTGGACTTCGTGCAGCACATTTAGAATTTTTAATGAAAGTCACTGTAACTCCTCAAACCACAAAAACATACAAAATATTCTGATACATTTCATGAAATTATCACTCAACTGTTGCCCGTTTTTATGTCCTGCAGAGTCCTCAGGCTGAGCGTGAGGAGCTGGGAGCAGTGGGTCGGTACTGCAGCGAGAGCCGCACCAGGAACCAGTGGCCACCCTGCATCACCCTGCACGAGCGCTGACCGGCTCCACACTGGACACTTTCACTGAGGAGAGCTGCAGATAAACACGCAGAAGAGCGACCCCGCTCTGTAGTTACATCAGAGGCCTGTGCAAATTAGCACACCGCTCGGGACCCCCGGACCCCCCAGCACAAGAGGGCGTCTTACTGTATGACTATGGGAGGTTTGGGGCAGAGGGGGGCAGAGTGGGGATAAAGAGGCGTGAGCTGTTTCGAAGACTGAGCAACGCGAGGCTGAAGCAGGAAACAGCCGACTGATAAAGTCCCGAGCTCACAGAAGTGGAGTGGTCAGATTTGGTCATTATCGTTATTGACTGGACTATTTATTACTGGACACACTGTGATGGCAATGCAGAAACTGTAATATATTTATTTATTTATGAACTGATACAGGTTTTATTCTTAATATGAAAATAAATGTATAAATAGAGATACAGCTTCATTGTTGTTCTTCCAAAAGCACCAGGCTTGTTATTATGTTATGATTCTTAAGACTTATTCAGTATTCAGCATGAATTATTCAGCATCTACTATGAATTATTCAGCATCTATTATGAATTATTCAGCATCTACTGTGAATTATTCAGCATCTACTATGAATTATTCAGCATCTACTGTGAATTATTCAGTATCAGTATACTGCATTTTGCAGTATGTTCTATTATTTATCTGCTATGAAACGAATGTGTGAGTTCTGTAGTTATGAGAGTGAGGAGCTGAAGTGTGGACCCCCATGCAGACCCCCAGAGTTTAAGGAGTTAAATAATGCTCAAAATCGCTTCGTTGGCTTTACATGGTGAAACTTTGACGCATCTTTATTTGCTTGAGACGTACGTGAGACTAAACTGAGTTGTTCTGCAAAGTTTCCTGTCAGTCACTCCAAACTGATTTGAAACTCAGCACCTGCAGGCGGCTCAGCTGAGTCTCCATGAAAACTAAACACAGACCACATGGTGACTTCTCACCAAAACAGCAGGGCCAACGTGCTGAAACTTAAGCTGGCTATGCACAGATATGACATACAGTGTTAGACAGACACGCAGCTGTAGATGCTTTTAGACAGTCGAAACGATTCGGAATGTGAAAATTATGATCCGAGGAAGTTTCAGTGCGTAACGCCAGGCTAATGATGAGAGCTACGCTAACGCTAATGACAGGATCAGCATTAGAGCTCATGCCCTCCGTGCGGCTCTGAGCGGTCGTGACTGCAGAAGGCCTTGTTTTCTCCCGGATGGAGCTGCACAGACGTCAGGCCGGAGGGGGAACAGCGGGAAAACAGAACAGACGGAGTTTGGTCTCCATGGCTACAGCTGCTAAGGACAGACTGACTGGATCTAATATTAGATCTGCAGCAGCTATTTCTGCCCTGTTTGGAAGGAGACGTGTATTTATAGTGAGGCTAAAAACAGCACGGTCACTCTGCGTCCACACAGACCCTCCCTGCACTGTCCACCCCTGTCTATCAGCCCGAAAACAACAAACAGATTAATTCAGCTTTGGGCACAGCGGGGACAGTGTAGAGAGACTGGGGGATCTCTAAGATCACACCTTTTCTGAATCATTTACAGAGACAGAAAAGGAAGGAGCTGCTGTGGGAACAAAACCTCGTATCTCCAAAATGGTGACTTTACAGGAGAAGGAAAAAACATACATTAATGTAACTCAGTGGAACCAGAACTTTTCCAAGTGATTTTGGGCCATTTCTTATTAAATCTACACCCAATGTAAAGGACAACAGGCATTTTCAAAGTATGCCAAAACTGAAAAATGGAGATATGAGGTTTTGTTATTTAAGATATATATGTAATATAAATGTATAACTGGTGCTTTTTAGTAGAAATGATAAATGAATAGGGATGGATTTGGTGTCCAGCTCTGTGTGTTTGTTGTTTATGAATTTATGTAACATTGATGCATTTTTCTGGTGTCAAAACAAAACCTCAAAAACATTCTTAACTTTTAATGGACGTAAATAGAGAAAAATGTCTTTCCAAGTAATATTAGACCGTTTTTGTTGGTCTACTCATTATGAAATTTTGACAAAATATATAGTGCAAGTGCCTTTTTCAAATAATGTCAAAAATGTTGAAAAACCACAAAAATGTAGTTATAAATTTCTGTGAAAACAGACAATAAAGTATTAATTAATCTAATTTACATTCACAGCATTTAGCAGATGCTCTTATCCAGAGCGACTGTGTACAAATAGGTTTGAGTCTAAACTGCCCTTCAGCTCAAACACTGCCAGAAAACAAAAGCCAGAGCTGAAAGCTAAAAATAAAGATACAAAACACAGAATTAAGACACAACATAAGTACAATATTAGCTAAAATCAGTAGCAGCCTTGATTTACTTTCATACTGTTGTTCATTTCTATAGAAAACAGTGTGTCGTACTGACCTGGTCTTGAGTATCTCTATTATATCCAGTTAAAGATTAAACACATAAAAATGGAGATTGGTTAGCTAGCTGATTAGCTTACTGAGGCAAGCCTAGCCGAGGCAAAGTGCATTACATGTTATTTTCAGCTGTAGAGGCCGCACTGCACGACAACAAATCATAACTGACAAGAAATAACTGATAAATCAGTCAATTAAGGCCTCTTTCAGACAGCTAAAAGCTAAGCTCACAAAGAAAACTGGGTAAATTATTTTTCCCAAGCTATCCCATTAAAGGGGAATTCCATCAATTTTAATAAAATTCCTCCATAATTAAGTGGTTGAGATGTAAACAGAGTCATTCAGAGTGGTTTTCTGTTCTAGAGAACCTTACTGAGTCAGAACTGTTCACAGTGGTGGTGATAGGAACCAGACGTCCACCTCTAAAAGCTCCCTCACAGAAAGTTCCTACATGAAATGGTTATGAATTCACTGCCTGATGACTGAGACACTGTTTTATGATAGTTTAGAGAACTTAAACTCCATTCATGGTGGAGGGATACATGCAGGGCGCTGTGAGGCAAAATAGTCCCCAAAGAAAACTTATTATTTCAGATTTTCCACTATTTTCCATCATCAACATTCCATATAAACTCAGAAGACTCGTGTAGGTTCACTGGTGGTTCTGGATAGTAAATAAAATGTCTATATTTGTGTTGTAGTCATCGCGACCCCTGGTTCCTATCACCACCACTGTAAAGACATCTGAACCATTTCACACTGAAGTTGCCCTTTAAAGTGGAGGTGATGTTAAATGTACAGATGGTTTAGTTCCTGTAGACGAGGTCAGAGCAGGGTGGTGTTGTGAGTGAGAGCTGCTGATGGTGGTCAGATAGAGGGTTTTCCCCCAGCCGGCCTCTTTGAAGCTTGGCTGATGACCAAAGCGCCAGGGTTTCTCCTCTCTGAGCCAGATCAGAGCAGTGATGAGGCTGAAACATCTTGTTTACTCTAATCTGCTTTAATCTGCTTTAATCTGTGCTTTAATCTGCACAGCGAGGGCTCATTTACACACAGCAGCACTGAACACTGAACACCGTCAGCAGGAAGATCAGAGCGCAGCACGCTGTCACTCAGCATCACAATTCCTCTCTGCGCTGTGCACGTCCTCAACAACATCCCACCAACTAAAGGGGAACTCCACCGACTTCTCAAAATTCCTGCACAGACGTATAGTCTACGTATGTAAACAAATTCACCCGACAAAACAAGAAACCAGTGGACTGTTTGACTTACAAAACGCGAAATAAATAAATATAGTTGTCTATAAATAACTCACATAAAATGAATAAGAAATAATGAGTGCATTTAAAAGAGTGAAATGTATTTTATTTCTGGTCCAAAGAAAACTGAATTTTAAGGAAACAAAATTAAATCACACTGAAATGCTTTCATTTTGTTCCATAAACAATTTCAAGTTGTGGTAAGTCCAGGCAAAAGTTTAGGCACCCTGGTCAAATTATTCTATGTTTTTGTAGATTTTATAAATGTAAATAAGTTACTTCTGCACATTTTAATGTACAATCACTGTTTATTTAATGAATTTAACCCAAAAATATAAAACAAAATGTGGCAAGAGTTATGGCTCATTTTGTTTTTGTTTCAGCAAATAAATAGAAATTTTGTACTAACATCTGTAGAAAAATGTCATATTTACATTTGAGGATGTCTATAAAACATGTCATTTGACCAGAGGCGCACATGACTGTACTCTACTCTGCTCGAATGGAAATCTGAGTAATAACTAAATAAAGTTTAAACAATTATTTTTTAATGTAACCCACTACCGTGGCCACGCCCACCAGTGCATGCAGGTGTGTGAGCAAATGTGCTTCCTGTGACTTTAAGATGTGTGTAAGAGCTGCAGTCAGTAGTGCAGTAAATAAACAGTAAAAAGTATTAAATGTGCAGAAGTGTCTCTGTAGAGGACACTTTCACTCAACTCAAAGAAAATCAACAAATACATGCAATTTAACCGGGGGTGCACAAACTTTTGCACACGATTGTACATGTATGTAAATGAGCTCGCGCCTCTTTAAAAAAACAGTCTGAAACACTCCTCTATAACTTCCGCTAAAATGGGTGGGGCTAAACTGCTGTAGGCTGAATAATAAGCGGACATATATTGTTTCTGTAACATCACAAAAACAGTGAATTCAAAATGGGCTGTTGTTGCAGTTTAGTTTCACACTGTTTACGTGTTTCATCAAACTGATTCAGTTTTCCATAACATCATATAATGTGGGCTCTTTAATACTCTACCTGCTGTTAGTTCAGGGTAAAGTGTGCAGTGAGTGTTTACACAGAGAGAGAGAGAGAGAGAGTGTGTGTGTGTGTGTGTGTGTGTGTGTGTGTGTGTGTGTGTGTTCAGGTGAGTCCAGGTGTGTGCTAATTACTACCCACAAAGCAACACAGACAGTTTTGCTCAGCAGCCAGAGTTTAACTTAAGTGTGCTGGTGATAAATTAGCGAATGAAACTCTGTCTGTGAAACCAGCAATCATCCCCGGCACAATTACCCCATCAGCCCCCACCAGCCCCCACCAGCCCCAAACACACCACGCTAATCCGAGAACGCTGCAGAAAGGAGCTGTGTGGTGACTCAGCCGGCCGTCTGAGCTGGTCTGGGTTAGCAGAGCTCTACAGTGAGGTTCAGCCGTCTGAGGAAACATCTGACCGTTTATCCTGCAGACATTAAAGCGGTAATTCAGAAAAAAATCCCCCAGTTTACCTCCAGACGTGTTCGGGGTCTGAAGTTTGCTTCTTTAGTTTTAGCACTGGAGCTACAGGACTAATGTAGCTAAGAAGCAACGGAAGCTTATACACCACTAATTAGCATGGTGCTAATTCTGCTGTTTCTCCAGTGTGGAATCTAAACTTATATCAGTGAGAGCAAAGTGGACTGACTGGCGTTGGAGTGACAGAAAGCCTAAATCTATAGTAGTGTTTTAGGCAGTAGCCTGCTAGGCTAAGCTAACACAAGTGTACCGAGCCTCCCACTGCAGTACAGGCTCAGTTCCAGCTAACTGACGCTAAAAAACTCCCGAGAGGATAAAGACTCAGAATGTCTGGTGTTGAAGTGTGGGCAGAAATATGAAAAATAGAACTGGTGTACTTGCAGAGTGACACCGACACACAGACACAAGTATAAACACTCATAACAGCGTAGACTACAGCGTAGACTCTGCGTTAACTGGACGCAGATGCATAAATCAGCCTCAAATCATCAAACACGCCTGAGCTGTTCAGTGATCTCTGGCTACTGTATGGCTCACTACTGTAGGACTCTACGCTATTAAAGAAGAACGAATTGCTGGCCTATGCAAATTAGATTTTTGGCCAAACTATCACATTTAATGAGGAATAAAGAGCATCACTGGATTAGCTGTCTGTAACTTCCATTCACTAATTCCTCATGAGAGTAGGAAAAAATAAAAAATCCAGGTTTCATAAACGCTGCATTAATCTAACCTGCATTTCTAAATTTCCACCCAGTGTTACTGCAGTACTTACAGAGAACTTACAGACATGCGTTATTTTAGTTCCCAGAACCCATTAGAGCTTCTCTGGAAGGATCTGAGGATTCCCCACCGATATTAATACACTTTTATTATCATTATTATTACGGTTTAGAGTGCCAGGCTGTGGGTGGGTGGCAGCTGCCGGGCAGTCAGGCTGTTTTAGGCTACTTCTGGACATCACCTTTTCTTTTTAAACCCATATCTAATCATGGCTGAGGTTAGTGTCCCACAGGACTGCAGTGAATCCACAGTAAATTAGCTCTGATGAGTCACAGTCAGAAGAGAAAAACACCTCATCTGAGCACTGAGCGCTTTCTAAACCGTACAGTCTCCCTTATACAACCTCCAGCCTACAGCAGCAAGCCCTTGATTAGCCCGTCCCATTCAGCCTACAGCAGTTTAGCCCTGCCCATTCCGCCTACAACAGTTTAGCCCCGCCCATTCTACCTACAGCAGTTTAGCCCCACCCATACAGCCTACTGCAGTTTAGCCACACCCATTCAACCTATAGCAGTTTAGCCCCGCCCGTCCAGCCTACAGCTGTTTAGCCCCGCCCATTATGCCTACAGCAGTTTAGCTCCACCCATTCAGTCTACAGCAGTTTAGCCCCACCCATTCAGCCTACAGCAGTGTAGCCCCGCCCATTTAGTCTACAGCAGTTTAGCCCCACCCATTCAGCCTACAGCAGTGTAGCCCCACCCATTCAGCCTACAACCGTTTAGCCCCACCCATTCAGTCTACAACAGTTTAGCCCCACCCATTTAGCCTACAACAGTTTAGCCCCACCCATGGATTTATAAGCAATGTTTCAGCCTGGATTGCTTTTTGAATGAGGCAGGCAATCAGAACAGAGCTCATTTACATGTATCAACCTTAAAGGCACAATAACAAAAGCAGCCTGTTTAACTGTAAAAGATAAAGAGAAGCTGGAAAATGATCATGTAGAAATTAAACCACACAAACATTATAAGTGAGAAAATAAAATACAAGAAAAATATAGGCGACTGGCCTTTTAAGTAAAACTCTAGTAGTCTTGATTCTGTGGTTTCTGACACTGTATGACTCACTGTTATCTATAAACATGGACTACAGTACGGACTGTGTTCAGCAGATATACAGTGCACTTTTCCTTTAAGAAGCTCCTATAGGAGTGTAATTACAGTCTGCTGCATGTGTAATTATACAGTCCAGCTTCATAATATATACTTCAACAGGTACTGAGGTGTTCTTTTTACCTGTGACAACAGGAGCTCAGAGAGAGGGCGAGAGACAGAGAGAGGGAGAGAGAGAGAGGGAGAGAGACAATGAGAGAGAGAGAGAGACAGAGAGAGAGAGAGGGAGGGAGAGAGACAATGAGAGAGAGAGAGACAGAGAGAGAGAGTGTACATTGCACTAATAACCATATGCTGAAAGCAATATCCATCGATTTTTCTAAATTCCTGCATTATTAACCGGTTAAGATGTAAACAGAGTCATTCAGAGCGGTCCACCTCTAAAAGCTCCCTCACAGAAAGTTCCTACAGTAAATGGTTATGAATTCACTGTTTTATGATAGTTTAGAGAACTCAAACTCCATTCATGGTGGAGGGATACATGCAGGGCGCTGTGAGGCAAAATAGTCCCCAAAGAAAACTGATTATTTCAGATTTTCCACTATTTTCCATCATCAACATTCCATATAAACTCAGAAGACTCGTGTAGGTTCACTGGTGGTTCTGGATAGTAAATAAAATGTCTATATCTGTGTCGCAGTCATGGCGACCCCTGGTTCCTATCACCACCACTGTAAAGTAACATATATTTTAATCATCGCTGTTGTCCAAAAACTCATATCTCAAAAACTTCACAGGAGAAGGAAATAACATTATTAACTTAATTAATTTTGGATCATTTCAGTTCATCATGACAATTTGACACAATATAAAGATTAACTAGACTTGAACAAACCTGTAAAAGTAAAATCAAGAAAACTGGAGATATAAAGTTTTTGTGCGACAGTGATTATATATATATATATATATATATATCACTGCTGTCGGAAGAAAACCTCGTATCTCCAATTTTTTGTTTTTCAGTTTTTGACATAATATGAAAATACTTGTTGCTCTTTATATTGTATACATTTCATGATGAATCGGCCAAAACAAATGACCCAAAATGACTTGTAAAAAATTCTGGTTCCATTGACTCACATTAACCGTAAAGTATGTTTTTTCCTTCTTCTGTAAATATATATATATATAAAAATATAAATAAAATATAAATAAAAATATAATTTTTTATATAAATATAAAAATTATATATATATATATATATATATATATATATATAAAAAAATAACACTTCAACACTTTCAGTAGTTCAATTAGTTATTCTGACATACTGTATTTTAATATAATAATAATGATTATAAAAGTAACAACCATTCAAATAAACACAAATGTTTGTGAAATAAAGATGATTGACTGTTTTCGAGAATTTATGTTCTATTTCTGTAAATTAACAGCAGCGGTGTTAAAATACAGTGTGTGCACTTTACGTTTTGATCTAAAAATGTTGTCGACTATCAAATTCTGCAGAACTTCAACAGTGAAAATCCTTTATTTTACGTGTAAAACAGCCCTCAGTGACGTCTGAACACTGAAACCAACCAAGCAGTGCAGAGTAACAGTTTCCATCTTTATTTTCTTTCTACTTTTTCATAATTCTTAAACAGCAATATCCACAAAATATTAACAGTGTGCAAGAAAAACATGATTTTTATGGCACATCCGAGAAGAACAATTACAAAAAATAGATATATTTCTCCATAATCAAGGCAGAGATACGTATGCGTACACAGGAAAGAACACAAAGTGATGGAGATGGGGTTCTAATGGAGAACCTATCGGCTACAGATGTTACCCACTACCCCCCATTACCCACAATGCCTCATCTCTCTGCTGCTGGACTGTGTGGAGGCGGCTGCGAGAGGAGAACGTGCTGAGGGTCCAGTCAGGTCAAACGGAACGTTAAAGCGCGAACAGGGATAAGCAGGTAAAGATATTCAGTCTATCGCAGGGACGCAGGGGGTCACAGGGGGGCCGCAGCACCCCCACATCTCAGGACTGTTTAACTGTGACTGCTAAAAAAACAATGAAAAGAATTACAATAAAAAAGAAGTAAATTTAAAGTAATTTGAATCCACTGTGTATTTTAAGTGATTTAAAATTTTTGTTATACCTTTTAAAATTAAGTATATATATATATATATATATATAGACAGATTATGCAAAGCCGCTCGTTACATGGAAGCCATTCTCTGAGAGCCGTTTAGGTATCTGTTCAAACATTGCAAGCTGTACTGGGAGGAGTTTCAGTTGTACTGGGAGGAGTTTTGGTTGTACTGGGAGGTGTTTTGGGTGTTGAATGTATCTTGGAGAGACGGATGTGTTTATGCTGCTATAACGCGACTCAAATGTGTCTCAGTCCTCCTGAAGTGCTCTGATCGATCAGATCTGTATCTGTTTTAATGTGTCTTGGCTGCGTTTACACTCACATTTCTATGTGGCCTCATCCAGATATAATCCTGATACTCAAGACACATGAAGTGACCAGGTGTAACCAGGGTCAAAAAACAGAAAATAAGTTTCTATTTATTGGGGAAAAAGTTCTTAAATATTTCTTAAACTCTTAAATATTTTAGAAATTCTAGAGAATGTCTGAGAAATTTAAGATGCAATAAAGAACAAAATGTAAATATTAAAAAACTCAAATCTTCTGAAAACTTTGGTGAATTCAGCCTGTAGAGTTGTTGTTCTCGACCCTCAGAGTCACATGTAGTCATTTCCTGATCAAACCCTAATCAGTCTGATTAATAAGTGATTGATAAGTGATTGATAACGCCGCTGAGAAGAGACTGAGGTTTGGCACTAAGCAGCTCCTGCACCGTCCACATGCTGGACCTCAGAACAGGACGGACTCCTAAACTCCACAGAGGATCTAATTTCAAACTGTCACAGCTTTTTGTCCACTGCAGTGACGGACGACACGGCTGAGAGCTTCAGGAGCTTTTGGCTTAAAATAATTCACAAAAATTATTTTTTCAAAAAATCAGTTTGGCACCGCACATCTGCACCTACACTGCTCTCAGCGTCCGAACAGTTACAGTGGACATTTCAGTGGATTAGCTAAACATTTCACTGGATTGGCATGACATTTAGCTTGACTAGCTGGACATTTCACTGGGTTAGCAAGACATTTCAGTGAATTATCTATTAGCTGGACATTTAGCTGGAATTGATGGATATTTCACTAAATTAGCTGCACATTTTGCCAGCTGGTGATTCCAGAGATTTAGCTGGACATTTAGTTTATTCTGTTCTGCTCTTTCTGCTAAAACTCCACCGGCTAAGAGAGAAAGCTGTGAATGGATCAGTGTTTCATTATGAAGCGCTCTGCCTGTCAGTTAGCTGGCTGCGTGTGTCTGACCGCTAGCACATAGCGAGCTCCTGAAGGCACCGTTCTGTTCTGACAGCTCCTGTTCGACCGCAGCCTGCAGCACAGGGACAATCGACTTTTCCACAAGAACAGAAGAAGCTGAGCAGAATTAGAACTTTCTCTGCACGTCTAGCTCACTCAGAACGTTCATTCAAGTTCAGCTGGGTTTTGAATGGCTCTCTCTGTGAGACTCCGTCCTCCTCTGAGCCGAACAGTGCAGTTAGGATATGAATGACCGAGTCCTGCAGGCTGTTCTTTCAGAGAGCCCTAATTTCCCCTGCTATGTTGCTGCCTCTGACCATGGCTGGACAATGGCACGGTTCTCCCCTCGCTGTAGCGGCCACCGCTGAATTGGATCATTGTTAAACAGCGTCTGCCGCAGCCTATTGGGGGTTTATTAGGAAACCACAGCGTGGCTCAGATTATGTACTGCATGTGTATGTGTTCAGGGATGTGGGTCAAGCAGAGGCTTGGACCTGCGGTCAGTTCATCGCTGTACGCCCTGTCCCCCTGACCAAACCACTAAACACCCTCCTAAACCCCGTAATCACCTGACCTCCTCATCCAGCAACAGCAAAACAGCTGCCTTACAGCCCGCCCCCATCTCCAGAGCTCCACCCCCTGCCCTACCAACACAGAGTCAGTCAGGATGGAAAAAGAGAACATCCACAAATAAAAGTTAATGCGCTTCAGGTTTTATCAAACACTGTACAGCATCGTTACTGAATGACCAGGTTCCATAGAGTCCATAGAAAGAAGAACGAACAAATCCAAAAAACAGCTATTTTCTCAAAGTTAACACCAGGACACACGTCCGAAAGAAAGTTTGTACATGTTGTTTTTCCTTCCTGTATGGATTTTACAATCAAGTTTGGCTTTAGAGATCAAGATCGGCCTTCGTATGACCACCACGGACAAAGAATTGGGTTCGTTATTTTCCCTTTAAGGTTCAAAAATGCTGACGACAAACGTTTTAAGCGATCACCTGTACAAATCTTCAAAATTGTCAAACCGTTTCAAGTAAGCAGGGGCCGTAAGTGTGTTCGGAATCGCTGTTTCCCAAAAAAAGGCAGATACGTTGCGTAATATGTATAATGTATGGATGTATGTGTAAGTATGTACGTAGGCTTCTGTACCTTAGAAGGGCTTTGAAGTGTAGTAGAAAACGAAGAGTAGAAAAACGAAAGCGTCAAAGCGCCCGTCGATGAAAAGCTGTAACTCGTGAACGGACTGAGAAACTGCGTAGAACCGTTTGGCAACTCTGTGTTAACGTGTTAAATTCCCTTCGTAAATCATACGACGTGCAGTCGGAGGTGTATCTGGGTTTGGGTTGTGTTTGGCCGCATAAATCTACCTTCAACTCGCGAATGGGAGGCTCAACCTGGACAGCCATGGCTGCAGTATGACTGGCCAGCCAGCTGGTCAGCCACATGATCATGACTGGACATTTCTTCTCTCCTCTCTCTACCTCCGTTCATCCCCAACTCATCCTTCATTCTAAAACTCGTGCTGTAGATTTCGAGATGGTTTTGAAAAAGAAAAATCAATAATAATCTGCCACTCCGCCTGCTGGGTGTATCTATATGAGTGAACACAGATCCGCACACGCGCATATTCATATATTCATCCATATAGATGCACTCAGTCTGGGGCTACATGGTGCTGGGGGGGGTTCAGGTCTATCACCCCTCCGGCGTTACCGGCAGAGTGTGGCGTGTGTGTTAGAGCTCCTGGTGCAGGGGGGTGCGAGTGGCGTGGCGGTGTGGAGGCAGCTATAGCAGGATGCACGGCTTCTTGTCTTTGAAGGGGTTCTCGGAGGTGGGCACCCCCACCAGGAGGGCATCGGAGCGGGCGTGCTGCTCACAGTAACTCATCAAATCAGCAGCAGCTTTAGACACCTGAGAGAAAGAGAGAGAGAGAGATAGAGAGAGAGAAAGAGAGAGAGAGAGAGAGAGAGAGAGAGAGATGTTTGTCATTGCCGGAGATCCAGAGTCACGGTTAGAAGGCACTTGGGTGACTCGAGCCCCTTTTGTCTCAAAGTTAATAGCACCCTTTTTGTTGAGCACTAAATGCTTAATATGTTGTGCAAAACCTGCGTAAACTTGCTCTTGGGCTCCCTCTACAGTTGTGGTGTATATTTCACTTTTATACCACTGTCATAAATATAAATCATGCTGTGAGCGCCCCCTCATGGACAGCTGCACACGAGCTGAAGGAAACAGAATCCAAATCCCCTTCATGTGCATCATGTCACCCTGGTATAAAGACTCTACAGATTATTCCTGCAATATATGTTGTTTCTATGTGTAAATCTGTAGCATCTATATGCCTGTGTGACACGAAGGGGAGCCGGATTCTGCCACGTCGACATACACGGCAGAGAAACATTACATGATTTTATTACAGGAGGTTCAAACTTTCAGGTCGTATTTGGCGTGAAACTGAGAGACTGACCAACCTTTCTGGCATGAGATGAATTCATCTATTTGCATGTTAGCTTGAAATGGGACTGAGGTGTGACGTGGTGCCGTAAAGTGTTATACAGTTCTGGCGAGAGGTTCTCGTGCTGCTCCTCCAAAGTTACATAGAGCTATAGCAGGTGTTCCGGCCTGAGACGTTGTTCTCACTGTTATAAGTCAGTGCAGCATCAAAATTATTTTAAAGCTGATATTTTCAGTTCAAGCTGTTACATAATGTTGCTTTAAGGTGGAACAGAAGAAGCTAACTTCAGCCTTGTTGCGGTTTATCGCTAAATTAAGAAATGCGCTGTCACTACAGGATGCAGAAACGTTAGTTCACGCCTTCATCACGTCCAGGTTAGATTACTGTAACGCTCTGCTTTCTGGTTGTTCCAGCCAAAACCTTAACAAGCTTCAGTTAGTCCAGAACGCTGCAGCCAGAGTTCTCAGCAAAACCAGGAAATTCGACCACCTTAGCCCAATTTTGTGTACCTTACATTGGTTGCCAGTTAAATTCCACATTGAGTACAAAATTCTTCTACTGACGTATAAAGCTTTGACCGTATTTCCTATTATCAACCGACACGCCCACTTAGATCACAAGGTGCTGCTCATTATTAGTACCCAGAATAAATAAAGTTACGTCAGGGGGAGGAGCCTTTTCATACAAAGCCCCCCAGCTTTGGAATAGCCTACCAGTCTGTGTTCGGGACTCAGACACAGCCTCCATCTTTAAGTCTAGGCTAAAAACTTACCTGTTTAGTCGAGCCTTTGGTTAATTTGTGTTCCTAACTATGTCCCTCTCATCCCCCCTCCCCCCTATCCCCCCCCTCTTTCCCCCTCCCCCTCTCTTTCCCTGAGCTGAGCGGCTGCCTGTCCTAAGAGGGTCTGACCTGAGATGCGGCCGGCGCGCTGCACAGTGGTGTTAAACTGTATCCACTTATACTGTTTTGTGTCTGTGCTCTTATCCGGTGTCAACCAGAGGAGGATGGGTTCCCCTTTTGAGTCTGGTTCCTCTCGAGGTTTCTTCCTCCTGTTGAGGGAGTTTTTCCTTGCATCTAACCCTAGCGCCAAAGAGCAATGAAGCTTGTGGAACCCAAGCCAACCCACAGTCTCAAAGTATTTCCTCAGAAATATTTTCTAAAAAAATCAATAACTTGTACTTTGTGGTCTTTTTGACTGGGAATTAAACTAATGAGGTGGGGTCTCTGACTTCTGCACAGTACTGTCCTCCTCTTGCAGAGGAAGCAGATTCTCAGAAGGGCTACGCTGGGTAAGAACTTAATTGCTGGACAGGTCCACATCATGTTCCACATCCTTTAAGGCTGAGGAACGTCTCTCATAGCTCGTTCTGTTGGTGCCTTTTAGGTGAGTTTACTATTCATTCCTCCGGACTGAACCCTCCGGTGGTCTGTAGGTCCGAGTCTGTGACCAGCGCGTACCTTGATGCGCTCGATGCCAGCCTCTATCCGCAGCTGCTCCACCAGCTTCCTGGCCTGGGCGATATTGTTGTTAGTCGACATTTTGGGCCATCGGTTATGGTTCCGAGATAAAGAAGAGAATCCTGAGCAGAAAGAAAAATTCAGCTCAGTTAGAAAGCGGATCAATACGTGACCAAGACAGGTATCACAAACAACCTCACTACATTACCCAGCATGCATTACACAAGTACATCATACAACTGTTGGGAAGTAGCATTTTTCTTCATATCTGAGGGCGAAGAAACCCACACCAGCAGGAGCGCACATAAGGTTACAGTCATAAACAAAACAAGAAGTGAAATAGTTTAGTACTTGAAGGTAAGTACAGACATGTGGGAAGATGCTGGTGATGAAATTTTAATTATTTTGAATGTGACGAGAACAATGACAGCAGGACAAATGATTTGTCTTTTTTCCATTTAACTGTTTATTCATAATTTACTTTAAACAGAAGGTCATACTGTCCTATAATGAGGCGAGAGACAAAATATATAAATACAACTGACACTCTGGAGCGCTGATCCACATCTTCTCTCATTCTGGACCAACTTTATGAAAATGAACTAAGTGGCAACCAATCAGATTGTTAATGTGTGGCGCAGTCGAAGATTGTGTCACGTTCGCCGTCACACAGTGAGATTTAACTCTTCAACTCTCACAGAGTGGGAGATATAATAGCTGATAACACATTTTCACACTGAGTTTACAAACAGTATTAAGCTGCTTTGGGGTTCGTTCGTCCTCTATCTCTGCCACACTCTCCCTCTTTGCACCTCAACCTGCGAGTGTTTGAGACAACCCCAAAACGGCTGTCGTGGGAAGCGATTGTTCGGTTTTTAAATTATATAAATAAAAATAGAGAAATACGTATTTCTCTCTAAAACAAGCACACAGAGTCTTTACTACATTCAGATTATTAAAACATTCAGATCTCTGCATTATTATTATTGTTATTATTATTATTGTTATTATTATTATTATTACTACTGTTGTTGTTTTTAACAGGTGCAGCCCTGAAATCTTCCTGTGGCCTTGGGTCAGTAATTCCTTACTCAGTAAATATTTACACAAAACAGCCCCCCCAAACTAAAGCTGGACGGTCAACAATTCTAGTGCAAAACTGGAGAAAAAACACAGCTTACATAAAAAACACATGTATTTCACACGTGAATAAACATAAATGTGAAAAAACGTGATCACGTGAAAAATATGAAAAAAAGTGATTACTTGTGAGAAAAGAACGTGTTATGTGAAAAAACATGAACACTTGTGAAAAAGCAGATATTCACGCAGGACTGATCTGTCCTGGTACGCATGACGAAACCACTGCACAGCCCTGCTGTGAAAACACTGCAGCGCCAAACAGGCACATTTACAACAGACTGAACTGAGAACAGCGATGCTCTAGAGACGGTTAGTGTGACCACCAGTCTGGTGGGGGTTAAAGTGATAGTTTGGTGGAATATCAAGTTTAAAGTTTTCTCTCCTTATACCCCACCAATTAGCATCATACGAACTCCATATGACTCACTGTTACCTATGAAAATGGACTAAAGTCCATGGTTGTAGATACAGTGAGTCATACAGTGTCAGAAACCACAGAATCAACACTATTAGAGACACTGAACAGCTCCCAGTCTGAATAGAGTGTGTGATGATTAAGTTAGCACCATGCTAATTGGTGGTACACACTTCCATTACTTGTTAGCTACATTAGCTTTGTGGCTCCAGTGCTAAAACTAAAGAAGCTCAGCTGATCGACCACATTTAGGCTAAAGTGAGGCTGGATTTATTTATTTTTGTTTGTTTGCTTTGTTTTTGAACTCTCGCTTTAACTGGAACTGTTTCCTGGCACTTCAGAAAGTCCCAACACCAAAAGCAAAAGGGAAAGTGCGGCTGGAGAGGAATGTGCTGCGGGATATCACTCCTCTGAACGCTCAGCTGACTGGAAAAGCGGTGGGTGCATTCCAGAAACCCCTCACAGCGGCCGCTCGGCTCTCCGTCAGACCAAAATAAAAGCTCGGCCTGTTTCTGAGCAGGTTGGATAACGGTGTTTCAGCACTGAGGCTCCGGCTGCTCTGCAGGGAAATCCCACCCTAGCCCAGCGGAAAACTCCCAGCATGCTTTACCAATCACACCCCAATCAGGCCAGTGATCCACGAGCTTAGCCTACTTACACAGGACAGCCAGGGGGGCACTGGGTCCTTAGCCTCCATAGAGCTAAAGCTGGAGGGGCAAAACCCAGCCAACTCAAACACACAACTGGAGAAAAAACACCCCTCACAGAAAAACTATCACATTTTATCACTTGAGAAAGAAAATACATGTGAAAAAACATGTTATTACAGGTGAAAACTCTTATCACTTGTGAAAAAACAGTGTCACCTGTGAAAAATGTGATCACAAGAAAAAACATTATCACATGCAAAAAAACATACGATTCCAAAAACATTTTATCACCTGTGAAAAACGTGTTATCACATGAAAGGACATCAAATGTGAAAAAACATGTATTACAAAAACATTGTCTGTATTTTGTCCAGTTTTCTAAGCTATAGCAGCAAAATAAACATAACATAAACATAAACAGACATAAACGCTGATGTTCGTTAAAATTGTTAGATATTTCAATGACGATGTAGAAGCAATAAATCATGATTAAAAATGACGGGATATGCAGACTCCATTAAACAGACACCTAATTAAACAGAAATCTAACTCATTACATTAAAACGTTTCATTCTACTATCACAGCGCATCTTCAAATCAGAGAGAATCAGGAAGAAAGCTGCAGTTATGTAACCAGTGTGTAGATGCAGTTATAAAACATTCTAGATGTTTCTTCTGAAGGATGGTGTGGGGGGGGTGGGGGGGCTAACTGTAGGCTAACGGTGTGTAAGAGAGAAGGATGAGGAGGCAGGAGTGGAGGAGGATGGAGAGGAGGAGATGCAGGCAAAAATAGCTATAATAATAAAGATCATAACAATATAGAAAATAATACAGCAGCGTAGGAGAGAGAGGGAAACAGCAGGAGGACAGAGGGAGGGATGGAGGGAGAGATGGAGGGTGGGATGGAGGGAGGGATGGAGGAGTGTAACCGCGTTTTGTCCAACAACAGAAAGAGAAAAAAAGCCCTGCTAAGAGACACATCGTCTGAACAGAGAGCATCTATGAGCTTCAGCTTCATCAGCTTTCTGCACAAACTGCAAGCCTTAAAATGAAAATGGGTAAAAATGTCCAGCAGCTCATTTACACCAAACAGACCTTTACCAATAAACACGCTTCACATAACGACATCATTTCCTGAAAAAACTGAATACAACTGTTTAAGGTTCGATTAATCAATAAAGAAGCTGCATTTGACATGATCCCATCTCCAACTTCATTAATTCCACAACTGCCACTGGTCACATGACCTACTGATTAAGACATTCTGTTTATTTGATTTCTTTAATTTATAATTATTATTTTGTGCATCTGAACATGTGAGAGACCTCAGAGCTTTTCCATTTAGACAGACCCTCACAGCGCCAGCTTCATACGCCATCACATATTTACGCTGGGTTCTTAAACACATACATACCGTCTGGTTCTACAAAACCAGCTCAGACTGACGTTCAGGATGTTAAAGAGAGGAACCGTTCAGACTCAAACCTGACGCAGCACAAACGCTGCACACTGGGCTGCAATCTAGCTACAACTAACTCAGCCACAGTTAATTAACCCTCTCAGGTCAACGACGTCGTATGCGACATCAAAGGACGTCGTACATGAAAAAATAAATCTCTCGGGAACAGGTAAGGAACACAGCCTCTGATTGGTCAACACATAAGACACATAGCTTTTGATTTGTCGACGAGTCAGGAACACCGCCTCTGATTCGTTGACAAGTCGGGAACACAGCCTTTGATTGGTCGACAAGTCAGGAACACAGCGTCTGATTGGTCGACAAGTCAGGAACACAGCGTCTGATTGGTCGACAAGTCAGGAACAGCCTCTGATTGGTCGACAAGTCAGGAACAGCCGCTGATTAGTCGACAAGTCAGGAACACAGCCTCTGATTGGTCGACAAGTAAGGAAAACAGCCTCTGATTGGTCGACAAGTAAGGAACACAGCTTCTGATTGGTCGACAAGTCAGGAACACAGCCTCTGATTGGTCAACAAGTCAGGAACACAGCCTCTGATTGGTCAAAAAAGTCAGGAACACAGCCTCTGATCGGTCAGCAAGTCAGGAACACAGCCTCTGATCGGTCAATAAGTCAGGAATACAGCCTTTGATTGGTCGACAAGTAAGGAATACAGCCTCTGATTGGTCGACAAGTAAGGAACACAGCCTCTGATTGGTCGACAAGTAAGGAACACAGCCTCTGATTGGTCGACAAGTAAGGAACACAGCCTCTGATTGGTCAACAAGTCAGGAATACAGCCTCTGATTGGTCGACAAGTAAGGAATACAGCCTCTGATTGGTCGACAAGTAAGGAACACAGCCTCTGATTGGTCAAAAAAGTCAGGAACACAGCCTCTGATTGGTCAGCAAGTCAGGAATACAGCCTCTGATTGATAGACTCAACCCAAGGTGTCAGTGGACGGCCAACAGCCCTGCTAACAACAACAACAACGACAACAACAACAACAACAACAACAACAACTCTTTCCAACACAGAGAAACAGATAAATAATCACAGAAGACGTTCAGTGTTGTATTTGTTATTATCTTCCAGAAAAAATAAAAGTCTCTATCATGCAGCATTTCCCAGATTTATTCTTATGTATGATGTCCTTTGATGTCGTATACAACATCGTCGACCCGTAAGGGTTAAAACTGCCGTTCCTGCCGTTCAGCAGGAACGGACGTGCTTTCACAATAAGAGTCCTATATAAACCCTCTGTTCAATATATGCAGATTCTTTGTTCCCCGTCGGGCCGATAAAAGCCGGAGCAGGAATGTGTGGATGCAAATGTTATTAATAAAATGTTATTGTTGCAAACCCTCCTAACAACATAAATCCCCCATCTCCCAGTCGCCGTCCCTGCGCTGACTGAGGGTCAGAGTCCAGAGCAGAGTCGGTCAGGCTGGGTTTGGGCTCTATAGTAACGCAGAGCTGCTGGTTTATTTTGGAAAGTTGGAAAAGAGGTTCCACACAAACGGGCCAGTAAACATGACACACTCAGAGTTCTGCACGCTCGGAGTCCTGCACACCCGGAGTTCTGCACGCTCGGAGTTCTGCACACCCAGAGTTCTGCACGCTCGGAGTTCTGCACGCTCGGAGTTCTGCACGCTCGGAGTCCTGCACGCCCGGAGTTCTGCACGCTCGGAGTTCTGCACACCCGGAGTTCTGCACGCTCGGAGTTCTGCACACCTGGAGTTCTGCACGCTCGGAGTTCTGCACGCTCGGAGTCCTGCACACCCGGAGTCCTGCACGCTCGGAGTTCTGCACGCTCGGAGTTCTGCACGCTCGGAGTCCTGCACACCTGGAGTTCTGCACGCTCGGAGTTCTGCACACCCGGAGTCCTGCACGCTCGGACTTCTACACTCTCCACACACTCACAGAGCGCTACACAGGCGGAGCAGCGTGATGTCATCACTGAACAAAGAATCACACAGATCAGACCATAAACTGACCAAAGGCACGGATCACCACCACAGCAGCCGTAAACATGTAATAACTCTGACCAGCACTGAGTGACCAGCACTGACCTCCACACAGGAACATCAGGGCAGCGTTTCACAACAAAATTCAGCAGCAACACATGCACAACATGGAGGTGTTACATATGAACTTACCCAACACATATAAACTTACTCAACACATATAACCTTACTCAACACATATAAACTTACCCAACACATATAACCTTACTCAACACATATAAACTTACCCAACACATATAACCTTACTCAACACATATAAACTTACTCAACACATATAAACTTACCCAACACATATAAACTTACCCAACACATATATTATATATATTAACAATTGTTAACACATGTTAACTTAACAAATGCATATAGACCTACCCAACGCATATAAATGTACGTTAATAGACTTACGCAAAAATGCATATAAGCTAATTCAACACACATAAAACGACCCAACAATGGATATAAACTTACCTAACAACCCATACACGCATATAAACTTAGCCCAACCGTATAAGCTCACCCAACACAGTGCATATACCCTTAACTTATCTAGCACAAATAGAGTTATCCAGTACATAAACCCAGCGCAAACACACCGACCCACCACGCTACACATTCCTCTCTGCCCCTTGACTGAATGTCCCTTTCCCCTCCTCTCTTTCCTCCTTCTGTCACCTGCTTTGATCTCTTAGATATATAAATAAAGAGCCATCAAATCTACTGCCTGTTTTTGTTTATTCTGAGTGGCGTCTCACTGTGGCTTACAAACAGTGTCAGGGAACGTTCGCTGTAGCGAGCCAGCTGGCCAATATCTGCCCAACAAGAGCCTCTCCTGCCCAGTCTGAGGCTTTGTCCAGCCTGGGCTCTGACCTGTGGGGCTGCAGCTACACACTCCTGCACTTTCTCAGGTCTGACCGAACACAGCAGACAAAATTAAGCACTTTACTTCGTTAAAACCACAACATTTTGGTCCAGAATGCAGGGCCTGATTAAGGCCTTCCATGCTGGCCGAAACATCCTGGTTTTAACTGAACAGAATGTTTGATTTGTATCTTTTTCCTTCATTCTCTGATTTTTTCACTTACACTTCTAAAAAATGGTTCTTCAAGTGTTCTTTAATGAAGGGAATGGTTCTACTCAAACCCATGAGTTCTATATAAGACCATTTCATGCTTAAAAGGTTCTCTGAATGGTAAAAGAATCTGCTGCATAAGGTTCTGTATAGGACCATTTTCAAAAAGGTTCTTATTACCCAAAAGTGTTGTTCTATTGTTAGTGACGGGGCGCACAAACTTTTGCATCAGCTGGATTGGTAGTGTTGGCACGGTATGAAGGCATCATTTAATGGTGTATAGCGCCACCTGCACTCCCTTTGGGCAAGTGTTTGATTTTCTGGGCTTTTACTTCATAAAGAGTTTTTTTTATAAAGCACACTTTCACACATCGACTCAAGGCGCTTTACAGAAAGAATCTGCTGCATAAGGTTCTATATAGAACATTTTCGAAAATGGTTCTATATAGAACCCAAAAGTGTTGTTCTATTGTTATGATGTCAAAGCTTGTAACAATAGCAGAACGCTTTTTGGTGCTAAGTAGAACCATCTACAACACATTCTCCATCAATCTGAAGAACCATTTCACCATGCAGAGAACCATTTAAGCATGAAATGGTCCTATGTAGAACTCATGGCTCTAAGTAGAACCATTCCCTTTACTAAAGAACTCTTGCAGAACCATCTTTTTTTAGGAGTGAGTAGCTGGTTAAGCACCTTCTTTCTCTCTTCTTTTGCTTTGATGTAAATATAGACAGTTAAGCTTAAACACGACGAAACCCACCAGATCAAACCTCCTAACTTCAGCACAGCCCCCACACAGACACGCCCCCTGCAGTTCAACAGTCCAGTTCAGGATTTATTATGAATTCACTCATCAGCCAGAAACACCGCGTAAACACTCTCACTACACAGCACTGTAGCGCCTCCTTCTGGTGCTCTGCCGCATCTGCAATCATTCAGTGAAAATCAGCCCCCCAGAAAAAATGAAACTATTTTATTTTTCTCCCCCAACATGTTCAGTTCAGCAAATAAACAGGAACTGTGCATTAAAATGTCTCCATAAAGGATGTTAATTAATTATGCTCAGAAAAACAAAACATGGAATTTGCAAAAAATAGTATCCTGTGAAGTGAAATGATCTGAAATCTCATCAATATATTAAATATTTTCCACTTTGAGATGTCCTGCACTTATTATAGGATTATCTACCTCATTTTTAGACAATTTTAAGTAATTTTATTAAGTAAAATTATTTTACTATACTGGCAGATAATTCTGCTGGTTTCAAGCACAACAAGCACAATTATTTGCCAATATAAAGATAAATTTTACTTTAATTAAGTTCTCAAAATAAGTAAATAATGTCTAGAAATTAGCTAGATAATCTTAAATTATTAACTTAAATTTCTAAACATAAAAAATATTAGGTTTATTTACTAGACTTAAAATAATTTCATTTGACCATTTTTGATATCATTTTTTACAGAGTGACCGGGGCGCCCAAAGTTTTGCATCAGCTGGATTGGAAGTGTTGGCACGGTATGAAGGCATCATTTAATGGTGTATAGCGCCACCTGCACCCCACAATAAGCATCTGATTATCTGGGCTTGCAGCTAGCAATAATATAACAAAATAAAAATCATAATGAATTTTATTTATAAAGCACTTTCACACATCGACTCAATGCGCTTTACAGAAAATAAAACAAAATAAATTCATAAAAACACGTCTGAAAAAGGCCTAAGATTCTTCTTTAGAATAAAACAAAATCAACTTATGAAACATGTAAAAAAAAAAAGTCTTAATTAGCACCGTCCTGATTGGTGGAGTGTAAGCGGCCACTGCTCGTTTGAGCCTCGTAGCTCCAGCGCTAAGACTAAAGGAGCAGTGGGGGGTGAGTGGGGGGGTGAGTGTAGGGCGAGTGGGGGGCGAGTGGGGGGCGAGTGGGGGTAAGTGGAGGGTGAGTGGGAGGTCACCACACCTTCACATCCAAACACCTCCTTCTGAAAACTGCATTACTCACACAGAAGCTAGCAGGCCCTGAACACTCCGACCTGAGCAGATCCGTCTTATTCACACAAAACACGGGAGGCTGGACAGTTGCTATGGTTACCATGGAGCAGCAGTTGATGCAATGGGGAATTCTGGTGCTCTAGCACCCCCGTGTGGCGAGAAGGTGTTAAAGAACAGTGGCTATTCATCCTGTTGCAGAACGTCGTGTACTCACAGATAAAAACAGGTCTGCGGGGATGAAGTGAACAGGATCAGCTCTCAGTGGATCTTCAGCACCAGCAGCTCAGACAGACCTTCAGTATCTTCACTCTGCAGAGCACAAACACATCAGCGCAGGACGATGAGAGCCTGGTAGAGACACTGAACATCACAAACACCACTAACAGCATCAGATCAAATAGATCGCTGAATTATTCCCACTCAAACACTGACAACAAGATAAAGTGTCGTATAGGAGCTTTTTTACAATGTATGAAAATGGTCACAAATGTGTGTTAAATATATATGTAAAATGCATTTATCAGTGTTAGTTATTATCTGTGTTCAGTTGAGTGTAATGAAGGTTCCAGATGTAACTAAACGTTCTTCTGTGATCTGCACTGTACTTTACATTAACCACGTACGTCTGCAGTCAGACTCTCACACACAATGTACTTCACATAAACAAGATATCAGATCATAACTGCATTTTCACAGAGTATCAATACCCACAACACTCGCTTCTGTCCTGATAAAGGATCATTAGATCAGATTCAAAATGAAGATACTGGAACACAAATTCATTTCAAAGCATATGAAGCATGAAAACCATTTATTTTCCTGTATGTTTTTCAGTTTTAAGAAAAGTCAGAGGTGTCCACTGGGGGGCACCACCATCATCCAGATTAGATTAAGCCAGAATTAGTGCTATTGCAGTGCTAATCTAGTTTCAGCAGCACTGATCTCTCTCCACGACTGAGCTTCTGACCACTGCTTCACTGTGTTTGAGTTTTAGTGCTGTGAATCTCACAGTGTTGCCAGATCTGAGATTTCTGCTTCAAAATCCCCCCATAATTCAATGTGTGAGGTAAACAGAGTGGTTCAGAGTGGTTTGGTATGAAACGGTTCAGATGTCTTTACAGTGGTGGTGATAGGAACCAGGGGTCGCCATGACTACAACACAAATATAGACATTTTATTTACTATCCAGAACCACCAGTGAACCTACACGAGTCTTCTGAGTTTATATGGAATGTTGATGATGGAAAATAGTGGAAAATCTGAAATAATAAGTTTTCTTTGGGGACTATTTTGCCTCACAGCGCCCTGCATGTATCCCTCCACCATGAATGGAGTTTAAGTTCTCTAAACTATCATAAAACAGTGTCTCAGTCATCAGGTAGTGAATTCATAACCATTTCATGTAGGAACTTTCTGTGAGGGAGCTTTTAGAGGGGGACGTCTGGTTCCTATCACCACCACTGTGAACAGTTCTGACTCAGTAAGTTTATCTAGAACAGAGCGTTTCACACCAAACCACTCTGAACCACTCTGATTACATCATTTTTGAGAAATGGGTGGAATTGCCCTGTAAGCCCTCACTTTTTAACATTTAAACAGGCGTCTGTATCAGACGCGGTGCTGTAGGGGGGCTGATACAGAGCTGGGGGGTGTGTTCTTATTAAATGTCAGTGAATTTGTTTCCTCTGAGGCTGGAGGCCCGACTGCTGCTGTTTTACTCACAGAGCTCATAATTAATTAAACATCACTGTTAAAATAACGTGATCCATTATGAACAGAGATGCAGCGGTTAGCCAAACGCAGGACTCACGTGTCCCTGAGCGACACCCCCCCCACCATCAGTGCTACAACCACAGTCAAAGCAAACAGCCCTTCAGTGCAGAACAGACAGAAACACAAGGCACAAAATCAAACTTTATAAATAATTAATCCAGTTTGATCCAATCAGGACGAGTAGAACTCAAACCAAACAGGCCAACTGACCTGGACCAGAATCTCCTAATGTGTCCCAAAGGGCAGCACTGCGCCTTCGTTTGATTAACGTCCACTCAAAACAGACACTGAGGACACGTTATTGATCTTTCAGGAGATGTTTGTACGGAGATCAGATATGAAATAATCCTTAGACAGATAATCTGTGGTAATAATGATAATCTGATATCAGATGTAGTTGTTGAGGCTTCTGTGATTTTCTTTTAAATATAATTAAATATATATACATGCACACACACATACATGCAAACAGTAACTTACACAGAAAGTAAAGAATGTTTTCTCCCTCCCCTGTAAACTAATGGTTTTTAACATATATGTATGTATTTATATATATATATATATATATATATATACATACATACATATATGTTAAAAAACATTAGTTTACAGGGGAGGGAGAAAACATTAAACAGGTTTATTAAGGTTCTTAATTCTGTCAGCTGAGCAATGTGGGTTTTTTGTTTTTATTTCCATGTTATTAATGTTTAAATGTTTTAATCAGGGTGTGAGGTTGTATGTCTGGTGGTTGTTTTATGAAGTCTGGGTTACCCATGAAAAATTCCCCCTTGAGGGACAATAAAAAAAAGTTAATCAAATGTAAAGAGATTTCATTCAAAGCTGTTTTGGAGCTGCATTTCTATTGATCTGATGATATTCAACACAGTGTAGAGGAGCTGCTGAGCTCATACTATGCAGAAAAATAGAAAAATAATTCGCAAAAAATGGAGATACTTTTTTTTTTGGACAGCAACAAAATGTTTTTGCTCTTTTTTCCTGATGCTGAAAAATAAATTTCACACACTTTAAAACTGAAAATTGATCTTTTGCCCAGTGCTGTACAGTACAGTGACACGCTATACAGTAACATACCACAGTCATATCACACACACACCTGAATATCTGATCTCTGGAACATGAGCCGAAGCCATCAGCCTGTTCTGTGTAAAGAAAATTAATTAATAATAATGAATTAACGAAAGTCTGTCTTTAATTACTCCTCTATGAAAGTGTTCAATTAGCAGTGGGCAGATCCAGCAGTGATTAAACTCTTCTCCCTGGATCACTTCGGAAGAGTCTCACGGTTACTCTCCAACAGAAGAGAATGTGGATGTGGAAGTACGATTTAATATGGAACAACGAAAGAGATACGTCAGTTTAATACAGCACCATGGCGTTCCCAACTGAATAACACCACAGCATTCCCAAATGAATAACACCACACCATTCCTAATTCAATCCAACACCACAACATTCCCAACTCAATACAACACCACAACATTCCCAACTCAATACAACACCACAGCATTCCCAACTGAAGACAACACCACAACATTCCCTACTTAATACAGCACCACAGCATTCTCAACTCAATACAACACCCCAGCATTCACCAACTCAGTCAAACACCACAGCATTCCTAACTCAATACAACACCACACCATTCCCCAACTCAATACAACACCACAGCATTCCCAACTCAATACACCACTGCATTCCCAACTCAATCCAGCACCACAACATTCCCTACTCAATACAGCACCACAGTATTCCCAACGGAATGTAACACTACAACATTCCCAACTCAAGACAACACCACAGCATTCCCAACTGAATGTAACATGAAAACATTCCCAACTCAATACAACACCACAACATTCCCAACTCAATACCATACTGCTAACATCCTAGCATTCCCAATATGCCTAACACTCAACATTCCTGACACTCTCATAACACTCCTAGCAATCCCATCACTACATTCCCAACACAACAACCCTAGCACTTCCAGCACAGGCAGCATTCCCATCACAACATTTCCAACAGAACAATCATAGCATTCCCAGTATGCCCAACGTTCTCAGCCTATGCAACACCGACACTGTCATAACACTCCAGGCATTCCCAACACAACAACCCTAGCACTTCCAGACTATGCAGCATTCCCAGCACTCCTAGCATTCCCATCATTCCTGAGAAAACGAACCACAACATTCCTATCATAGCATTCCTAACACACAGTGAGTGAGCTAGCAGCTGGATTCCTGCAGCGGGGTTAGGGCCTCCAGCACAGCAGCTCCTTCACTCTGCTGAACGCGAAGAGAATTCTCCCGTTCCACCTTAAATGGTGCAGGCGACAGAATGTAAATGCTGCACCATTTAAGGTGGAACGGGAGAATTCGAAGGAGTAGCTGGCGAATGCTGGATCGTGATAATATGTGTTGTGTTATGTGCGCGCGCGTGTTCCAGCCCCACTGCGGACATTTTCAGCCGCGCGTACACACACACTACCCGGGCCGCTGTACGTGTGTGTATATGTGTGTGTGTGTGTGTGTGTGTGTGTGTGTGTGTGTGTGTGTGTGTGTGCGTGTGTGTTGGTGGTGTTTGTTTGGTTTCTGCATGTCCGCCCGCGGCTCCCGGAGCCTCTGCAGCTCGCGCGCTCATACGCACCCCCTAATGCCCACCCATATACCCCACCCTCACTTTCACATACCCCCCCATCCTCCCCAACTACCCCTACTGCCCCCTCAGCGTCTCTACTAACACAGTCTAATGAAGGAGAGAAAACGTCCGCGAGACTCATACTCACCTCCGCCTGCGCGCGCGGTTGTGTGTGTGTGCGGTGTGTGTGTGTGTGTGTGTGTGTGTGTGAGAGCAAGTTTGAGTGAGAGCGCGCGCAGGAGCAGAGCGTCTCTCAGGCTGAGCTCGGTTTAATCTCCTACGAAAGCTCGAGCGCCGGTTTATCTGAGCTTCTGTTTGATCCGTTTTTATGAGAGATAAACAATCAGACTAATAGGTAAATAAAGCTCTCACGCGCAGCGAGCTCTTATTGAGCTTCAGAGAGCCCCGCCCCCTCCTGCTGCAGGGTGCAATACCGAGGGTGAACACGCGGGGGAGCCCGCACTCAGAGCTGACTCTCATTCGCTCCTGCGGTGTACGCACGCGTGGTGGTGGCGATGATAGTGATTAATGAAGATAATGAAGATGGTGATGATGACGATGATGATGATGATGGTCTTGATGTCGAGAGTGATTGATAGTTATGATGATCATGATGATGAAAGTGATTACGGTACTGAGGGTGATGAAGCCTTGTAGATAGTGATTGATAGTCACGATGATCATAATGATGAAGGTTATGATGATGAGGGTGATTGATAGTTATGATGATCATGATGAGGGTGATGACGGTGATGATGATGATGATGATGATGATGATGATGAAGATGGTGATGATGTTAATAGTGATTGATAGTGATGATCATGATAATGTTATGACAATATGATAATGAGGGCCATGACAATAATGAGGATGATGATGATGATGAGGGTCATGATGGTAATGAGGGTGGTGATGATGATGATGGTGATGAGACTGATCATGATCAGGATGATGAGGGTGATGATAATAATGATGGTGATCAGTAACTGAGATTAATAACTGATCACATTGATTTATCGGTCTACTCAGGCTTTAGCAGAGCTCAGTAACACTGAGATTAATAACTGATCACATTGATTTATCAGTCTACTCAGGCTTTAGCAGAGCTCAGTAACACTGAGATTAATAACTGATCACATTGATTTATCAGTCTACTCAGGCTTTAGCAGAGCTCAGCAACGCTGAGATTAATAACTGATCACATTGATTTATCAGTCTACTCAGGCTTTAGCAGAGCTCAGTAACACTGAGATTAATAACTGATCACATTGATTTATCAGTCTACTCAGGATAGAGGAGTTCAATGTTTGAACAGAAGTTATTAATTGAAAGTGATCATGATGAGGATGATGATGGTGATGATGGTGTTGATCATTATGGTAATTAAGATGGGGAAGATGATTCGGATGCTGATGAGAGTGATCGTGACGAGGATGAGGGTGGTGATGGTCATGATGAAGATTTGGATGGTGATGAGATTGATCACGATGATGATGGTGATGGTCATTATGATGAAGATGATGATTTGGATGGTGATGAGAGTGATAATGATGATGATGGCGATGATGATGATAATGATGGAGGTGCGTCTTGCATCCCACCATGACATCATCATCGCATCAGTAGAATGCTGGAGGCCGTGTGCTGTGGCGAAGAATAAAAAAGTGGTGACTAGCGTGTCGTTGCCATAGAAACCACATTTAGCGCAGCACTGTACGGCAGCTCACACACACTGTACACACCAGAGAGAGCAGAGAGACACAGCAGCTGGGTTTATATAGATTTTATTAAGAAAATGATTCATCAGAGATTTCTCTTTATTATCTATTATCTTTATTATTTATTGTTTATCTTTATCACACACGGCATGTTCAACAGTATCAGAGTGTCAGTGATGAGCGCACTGCGTCTGTGAGAGGAAGACTATTGCTAGAGGACGTTTTACAGTGATAAGCTTTAACAAGGTGTTTCAAACTGGAATGATATCATACAAAACGCTGTACAGTAAAAAAAAAAGTTAAAAAATGAAACGAATTAATAAATTCACAGTTTTGTTCTTTGTCGTCATGCAGGTGCGTGCGCAGCGTGATGGGACTCAAACGCAGCTTTAGTGTTCGTTCACACCGAGGCAAAAGCGATAGAGCAGCGCAAAAGCACAATGACTGCTACTGTTTTTAGCTACATGCTAACCACAGTGGGACCCTCAGAGAAGGTCTGATGGTTTCTATGATACTGTTAATCTTATTTTAAGGTAATTTATACTTAACAGAATCATCAGAGTGTTGTATTTAATGTAAGTATTGCAGTAAAACTCACTGTGAAGTTTCGGGAAAACAAAACATTTAAAATCTCGAGACGCCCAACAGAAAATCGTCCAATCAGGATTGTTCTCTCTGTGGTATCTGGGTAGATTCAGCCGAGCTGCTCTCCCATTGGTTAGGACTTCAGGAGCTGAACTGAAGGCCCTACACATTAGATTAACTACCAACATAATTAGGAAGTGACAGAGGAACCAACCAATAATGCTTTGGTTTACAATTCTGTTAGATTGGACTTCTGGAGGTTCTAGATACGTCACTGTCTGTGAATATGAGCTGTAGTCTAAGCAATGTTCCAGTTAGTTGTTATGAATGTTAAACAGTGGTGGCAGCTCTATGGACTCTTTACTAAAAGATTCACTGTAAAACTGATACATACAAGATCAGATATATGATAATTATTGACTGTTACAGGTGTCAGATAAAACATATAGAACGTCTTTTACAAGCTTCAAATGTCTGTGTTTAATCTAGAAACGTGCATCAGCGTTAGCTTAGCGCTAACATACTATTAGATATTTCATAAGGGTACTAGCAGACATTAGCATTATCATAGAGACTTTTTTCCTTGTTTTTAAATGTTTTTGATATTTACGGCCCAAACTGAAGGCCCAGCTCTAATAGTCACTGAATCTTATAGTGTTCTCAGCGAATTCACCGCCCACAGTTTTACCTAAGCGCTAACATACTACTAGAATCTACTAGAGCGCTATGTACTATACTTTTATACTACATACTACTAGGGCACTGGTAGAAATTAGCATTATCATAGAGATAATCCTTATTTTTTGATTTTTATGGCCCGAATTAAAGGCCTAGCGCTAACAGTCACGGTTCAGCACTGATGCTACTGTACTTTAGTCCATGTTAATGGATACAGTGAGTCAGAAACCACATAATCAGGACTATTAGAGACACTGAACAGCTCCTCACAGTTAGAGATGATTTAGGCGTGCAGTTAGCACCATGCTACTTGCTAACATAGGCTGATGTTCTTGTTAGCTACATTAGCCTCGCAGCTCCAGTGTTAAAACTAAAGAAGTAAACATGTCTTGGTTGATTGAATACGTTTGGGGTAACCGTTTTGGACGGTTGGTGGGTGACGAGGGTTTTAAAGGCTCATATCAGCATCTATTAACACATTTACAGCTATTTACACCAATGGCACATGTGTGATTTAGAAAAGATGGTGATTCCTGAAGATTAGTGACATCACAATGAAAAACATGTAGTCGTCTATACAGCCCACCAATGCAAGATGAAGTATATTACAGTATATCAATATCATGTCAATATGTTCCAAAATGTAAACAGAATGTATAGTCAATATGGATAATAGCCTATAACTTTGGCTAGCAGTGTTGGCTAGCAGTGTGGATGGTAGCCAATCCAAGCACAGGTATGTGGGGCTTATGTAAATATGATTTCATCTGTAACCAAATTTGTAGCACCATCATCATCATCATTATCTGTAATAAAATTTTTAAAAATAAAATAAGAAGAAATAAGACGCATTTACCATCAGAGTGGTTCAGAGCGGTTCAGAGTGGTTTGGTGTGAAACGCTCCGTTCTAGAGAAACTTACCGAGTCAGAACTGTTCACAGTGAAGCTGATAGGAACCAGACATCTTAAGAGTTCAATGTGGTGTATTATGAAGCAGAATAGTCCCCAAAGAAAACTTATTATTTCAGATATTCCACTATTGTCCATCATCAACATTCCATATAAACTCAGAAGACTCGTGTAGGTTCACTGGTGGTTCTGGATAGTAAATAAAATGTCTATATCTGTGTTGTAGTCATGGCGACCCCTGGTTCCTATCACCACCACTGTAAAGACATCTGAACCGTTTCACACCAAACCTCTCTGAATCTCTCTGTTTACAGCTCACACACTGAATTATGGGGGAATTTGGAAAAATTGGTGGAATTCCCCTTGAAGACAGTAATAGACTAAAAGTCCAAGAAACGTTTGTGTGAAACAATAAAAAAGACAGCAAAACAAACACACACAAAAACAGGTTCTTCAGGGGTTCTTTAGTGAAGAGATGGTTATGAAAATGTTCTTTGAGTTTTGTTTATTTTCATGCCACTTTAATAATAGTACAAGATTTAAATGATTTAAATGATATATATTGTTATATATACTTTAAATGCATCAAGCAAAATCACAAAAATGTGGTACTTTATATAACTAAAAGGATCCCTGGAGAACCTGTTGTACACTCTTGTCAAAAAGGTTCCATACAATATGATAAAAAAGATTCTATGTCTTGTAGCAATAGCAGAACCCTTTTTTGGTGCTAAACAGAACCATTTTTACAGCTTTTCCATCAAAGAGAACAATGTAAAGAACATTTATGCCTTTCAATTTCTTTGGGTGTTTTAATGGTTCCATCTAGAACCATTGCCTTTACAAAAGAACCATTGAGCAACCATTTTTTAAGGGTGTATACTTAGCAAAATGGTTCTATATAGTATTAAAAACAGGTTCTCTGACTTGATATCAGAAGCATTTTTGGTGCTAAATAGAACCACTTAAAAAGGTTTGTTATAGAAACATATACAGCACTTTTCCCATCATAGAGAACAATGTAAAATGTAAAGAACCATTTATGCATTTAAATCATTCTTTGAGTGTTCATGGTTCTATGTAGAACCTGCCTTTACTAAAGAACCCTTGAGGGACCACTTTTTGAGGGTGTACACTCTTAGCAAAAAAGGGGTCAGTAGTAATAAAAACCCTTTTTGGTGCTATAAAGAACCATTTTTTAAAAAGTTCTTTATAGAAACATATACAGTGGGTTTTCCATCAATAAAAAAATAATTCTTTGAGTGTTTATGGTTCTATTTAGAACCATTGCCTTTGCTAAATAACTCTTGAAGAGCAGATGTCAGGGTGTAAATCTTAAAAAAGGAATGTGTCTAAATGTGTCTCACTATTGTTACAAGTCGTAGAACATTCTGATATACATACAATATACAATGCAGAAATATATCATACAAAATGTGCAAAATTAAAGTGGAATGGAATGAGGATGGAATATTATATGAAAAGGTAAATGACAGTTCCGGCTTCTCTCTGGATCATTTGTTCACATTTAGCTCACAGTTTCTGTCATTTAAGAGGAGTTAATGTCTGTTTGATGTACAGCAGCTGTTTAAAGGAATAGTTCACAAGTAAAGATCACACTTACACAGTTTTCCTCAGGCCTGCAAACGTAGATCAGCCGAGACTTCAGTATTGTAGTTTTAGCACTGGAGCTATGAGGCTAACAGAGCGAACAAGCTTATTGCAGCACGAGTTTAGCATCATAGACTTCTTGTCTCTGTGCAGCATGTTAACCTATAACCCGGACAAACGTAAGGATGTGTTTTGAGTTAATTTAGTGTGATTCAGGTTTAGTCTGTGTGACGCTAACTGTTATTATTAGCTTCCGTTATTAGCCATGTAGCTCCAGTCAGCGATATTAGCCTGTTAGCGTGAGAGGGAGCGCTGTGTAAATACAACCTGACACTGAACTCTGACGGTAAAGACGCTGTCAGTCAGACGTTGTGCTTTGACCTGGATCAGGACTTAAAGGGTTTTATTACGTTTTGCCAAAGAGGCAATGATCAGTAAACATGCTAGGATTAGCGCTGTAAGCTATCAGAGGCTCAGTTGGATTAAAGTGCGGCGTTCTTTGCTTTCCTTAAAGGAGAATTCCACCATTTTTTTTTATTCCCCCATAATTCAGTGTGTGAGATGTAATCAGAGAGATTCAGAGTGGTTTGGTGTGAAATGGTTCAGATATCTTTACAGTGGTGGTGATAGGAACCAGGGGTCGCCATGACTACAACACAGATATAGACATTTTATTTACTATCCAGAACCACCAGTGAACCTACACGAGTCTTCTGAGTTCCCTGCTATAAAAATAATTAAAAAGAAACCATTAAAAGGTACTGCTGGTTCCTGGTGTTGTCCAATAGTCTCCATTGGTATTGTGTGGTACTGTATTCCTGATGGGTTGATATCACAGTGTAAAGGATTCTAATGGTTTCATTCCAGATGTGTTTGATGGTTTCCTAATGGGATCTAAATGTGTCCTACAGGAAACTAGTGGTCTCTGGAAAGCAGCCAATTCTCATTAGAAAGCAGAACCAGGTTTTAATTCTACACTCTTAAAAAGATCTTTTTTTAGGTTCTATGTAGAACTATGTATACTTAAAGAACCCTTTTCATGATTGGGTTATTTGCATTGTGAAAGACTGATAGAGAACCTGATATAGATTCCATGTAGAACCTTTTTGAACAGGATTCTATATAGCACCAAAAAGGGTTCTTCATTAATGCGATGTCAAGTTTCTTACACTTGAAGAAACGTTTTGGTTCTATATGGAACCATATACAACACATTCTCCTTCAGTCTGAAGAACCTTTTTATAATGCAAAGAACACTTTACTCATGCAAAGTTAATCATGGTTCTTTGAGTGTTCATGGCTCTATGTAGAACCATTTGCTGTACTAAAGAACCTTTAAGAACCATCTTTTCAAAGTGTGAATGGCTCTAATGATCTTTTTTCAGCAGCGTTTTTATATGGAATGTTGATGATGGAAAATAGTGGAAAATCTGAAATAATACGTTTTCTTTGGGGACTATTTTGCCTCACAGCGCCCTGCATGTATCCCTCCACCATGAATGGAGTTTAAGTTCTCTAAACTATCATAAAACAGTGTTTCAGTCATCAGGCAGTGAATTCATAACCATTTCATGTAGGAACTTTCTGTGAGGGAGCTTTTAGAGGTGGACGTCTGGTTCCTATCACCACCACTGTGAACAGTTCTGACTCGGTAAGTTTATCTAGAACAGAGTGTTTCACACCAAACCACTCTGAACCACTCTGAACTGCTCTGTTTACATCTTAACCACTTAGTTATACAGAAATTTTGAAAAAACAGTGGAGTTCCCCTGTAATTTCAGTCAGAAGCCCGTTGGGATTCCTCTGCAGGTGCTGTGGAGGTCATTAGTTATCTGGGACGCATGCTAAACTGAACCTGCTCTGAGTCAGGAGGCCTCACTCTTGGCTGGAGCTCCAGAAACAGAGCTGCGCTACATAAATCACACTGAGAATAACCTGTGGCCAATAAACGGCCCTGTTTACGGCCACCTGCCTCTCGCAGTTCAGTGTCCCGTAGTGTTGGAGATGGATGCTAATTATTCAGCAAACGTATAGGACGGTTTACATCAGCAGTTCTTTCTCAAACTGCAGGCACGACGGTTTTTATAACGATCTGTTTAGCGTGAGCCGTTCCTGCAGTGCTGTGGAAACGCAGACTGAATACCTGCAGTGGGGATGCAGCGAAGATGGAGGCAGGATTAGATGTATATGATGAACAGCGCATTTATATAGATAAGATGAAGATGATGTTAATGTACAGCTTTACCTCCTACACAGAGCCAGTTTAGCCCTGTGGAGAAACACAACATGACCTCTATATATATATATATATATATATATATATATATATATATATATATATTGTTTTGGAGACACTTGTTTTTCTGTGGACAGTGACGATTTGCATGTAAAGGCCAGCTACCATTTTCAACTGTTTTCCAAATTTTCCAAATGTTTTTGTCCAAAAAATAAAAATGTAGTACATGAAATGTTCCTGACCAACAGCAGCATCAGCGTATTCATTGTTTTTAATGGCAGTGTTCAAATGAATCGTGTATCAATTAAATATTCAATATTCAATCAATTTTCTTTTTGTAAATATTTGTAAATATTGTAATATACAATTTTTTCCATATTGCCCAGCCATAAGATTGCATGTAATTGTTGATTTTCTAAGTGAAAATAAGTTAACATATCCTCTATAGAGGCACACTCTCCCCATTTTGATATACATTAACTGAATTTGACAATGCCTGTTGCTCTTTACGTTGTGTGTAAATTTTAGGATGAATGGACCAAAAGAAACGACCCAAAATTACTTGGAAAAAGGTCTGGTTCCATTGACTCACATTAAAAGTAAAGTAGTTTTCTCTTTTCCTATAAAGTTACCATTTTGGAGATTTTCTTCCGACAACAGCGACATATATATATATATATATATATATATATATATACACAAAAATAAAATAAAGTAACATTATGAGATACGAGGTTTCATTCTGAGGGTGATGATGTATAAATATTTACATTAAGTGATCTGACAGTGATGGTGGTCGTGTGTCCTGAGTAGTGAAATAAAAAACATTTCATTATTTCAAAGTAATAAGCAGAGACGGTGAAATGGTCAGCGGTACAAACTGGCTGGAAATGCGGAACAGATGATGATGATGATGATGATGGTGGTATTACAGCTATTTTTCCTGCTGACTCTGGTTCTGATCCCTGTTAATGTTCTGAGGGTCATTTCTGTCTCGGTGATCCAGCAGCGTCCACAGCACTGCGTCCATCAGGAGTGTCTACGTTTATCCGTGTCCTGCGTCTGCAAGTGTGGAAGAGAAGCCGTCTGGTTTTTCTGTTATTCTCTGTATGAGCCGCTTCGGTTCACACGTCTCTGAAACGAACGCACAAGGTCAGAGAAAACGCTGATGTGCAAATAAAGCTGACCGGTCGGTCCAGCACCACACGGTCCAGTTCCTCAGAAAGTTACACTACAGGCCTAAAGTCCAGGAGGCTTACCATTAAAGCTACGTTCACATTGGCCTTATTGCTGAAATGTGTGAATTGCTGAAAAACACCTGAAAGACATTTTATCATCAAGTTAGCTGCTAACATTAGCCTCTACGACAGGGGATGATGACCACAGTGATACGCGCATGTGGAAAAAAATTTAAAACATTGAATTGACCCAAGCTCCGCCCACAAATGAGTTCCTTTAGGCCATGTTCAGACTGCCAGCCCAAATCTGATTTTTGTCATTGAATCCAGATTGAATGCAGATTGATTTTTGATAGTGTGAACAGCATTTGGAGCTGGTTTGAAATGTGACTACAATCAGATTTTTACACATGCGTCTCAGTCTAGACGCTCTGGACGCTCAAATCAGATTTCAAAGTGTCTTTTGCGTCACTCGCAACATGACAAACAGTCATGAAGTGCTGGGATTCAGGAAGAGCTCCAAAGATTCATGATGATGAAGAGAGTTCTGAGGAGTTTGGAGGGGAGATGATGCTCCTCCATCTCTCCTGCATCCGCGTTTGAAATCCACGTCACCAGCGTAGCTACGTAGTTACTGACGCCTACATCGTTACCACAGCAACCCATGCAGATAGACTGGTGATGTCTGGACACACAAATCAGATCTGACCACTTGCAGAAAGAGTGGACAGTCGACTCAAAATATCTGATTTGAGAAGCAAATCTGATTAGCCTGCAGTCTGAACACAGCCTTATAGCTGCTGTTCTGCTTTACGGAACATTAATCTCATTCAGACTAATTTGTTTGGGTTGTAGTTCAGTTTAGCCACATGGAGTTTCCAGTTTAAAACTGGGGATGTGCACAAATAACTGATCGAGGTGCCAGTATTCAGATACTGAATGGACTATTTGGGTATTTGTTACAGAAAGACAGCAATCAACAATTCAGTGAAATGCCAATTTTATGTTTTACCGGGACTGTTTTGTTAGTATTTGTGAGTAAGAATGTATGTTATATTACTTTTGCTACAACACAGCAGGGCAGCTTTATTGCTAACTAGACTAACTATGCTAACGAGGCTAACTGATGTTAGATCCAGAAACATGTAGGTACATCGTCGTCCACTGAGGAGAAAAGACTCGTGTAGAAGACGACGAGTCCTCTTCAGCATCCAACCCTGTACCTGTTAGCTGTGCTACTGAGCTGGACTGTGTTGTTGGAGCTAATCGATACTAGCCTGATTGGAAACAGTGAATTAGCCATGTTAGCTCAGTTACACTAAAAAACTACACTGTGTGGATTTTCACACACAAACACAATAAAAGCACTGCGTTCCACAGTTTCTCTTTGGGCCGAATTCTTTGTTCTGTAAAGCTACAGAAGAACACATTTGTAGGCGGAGCACGAAAAGCTCAATTCTGATCTGATCAGTTTTGTCACAGTCGGCATGGCAACGTATCAGACATCTGTCCCAGGATTTGAAAGTGGCTCGAATCTGACCACTCTGGGGTTTGTTGTGTCTGCCGTTCCGTCTCTACATGACGCTGCACTTCCCCTTCAGTTTGTCAGTGCGTTTCTGTTTGTTTGAGCGTTTGCCGTCGATGTTGAGGCTCATGCAGCGTTTCTTCTCCAGGTTGAGCAGCTCCTGGAAGAGCTCAGTGACGTTGTGGTTGGTTTTGGCCGACGTTTCCATGAAGGCGCATTTCCACGCCTGGGCTTGAGCCTCGCCGTCCTCTGTCTGGACCTCCCTCTGAGTCTCATCGCTCTTGTTGCCCACCAACATGACCGGGATGCCCTCCACACTGCCCTTAATGGCCAGCACCTAAACCACAACAAAACTGGGTTCAAACTGCAGTCACTGCAATACAAAGTGCTGATACATGGCAGAAATCACAGTTTCTCTAAATCAACCAGGCACGTTTTGCTTCTTTAGTTTTAGCACTGAAGCTATGAGGCTAAAGTAGCTAAAAAGCAATGGAAGCTTAAACCCCATCAGTTAGCATGGTGCAAACCGACTGCACAAATGATCTTCTGTTTGCCAGTCTGTGTCTAGTTGTTAACAGAGGTTGAAAAAATAAATGATTTTTTGATGCACTGGGATTCACAAAATGTCATAATGAGATTTTTATTTAGGCTCACTGATGCAGCATTATATGCTTTAGCATAGCCGACTTGGAAGAGGAAAGAAGATGCTCACTGATGTCCGCATGCTCGCAGTCACATTTTAAGTATATGAAGTAAAAAGCTCTGTTTAACAACCAGCTCAGTGGACGCTAACCAGCTATCAGGCTAATCGAGCACCATAATACTTCATGCCTTCCCTCAGGTATCTATATTTATATCTATATCTAAATCAGAGCTCCTCCACTACAGTGGTGGAAAACACTTAGTGTTTTTAGATGTAAAGCACATGGATGTGGCTTTTGAAGCTCATTTACTTGAGTAGAGCACATGTAGCAGTCTGGAGTTTCTCCAGCAGGGGGCACATAAGTCATTTTGTGCATCACTTAAACAACAGGAGGTGACACTGCTATCAGAAAAGTTTGTTAACTCAGTTTGACATTATTTAATATGTGATGTATTTCACACAACCTTTGGGAATCCCTGTGGTGTCAACCAATCCTGACTGATAGGCTAATTAAGAGACCCTTATTAGTCCCACAACCGGGGAATTTAACCTCTGCATTTAACCCGTCCATGCAGTGAAACACCACATACACACTAGTGAACACACACACTAAGGGACAGTGAGCACACTTGCCTGGAGCGGTGGGCAGCCCTATCCACAGCACCCTGGGAGCAGTTGGGGGTTAGGTGTCTTGCTCAAGGGCACTTCAGTCACGTACTGTTGGCTCAGGGGATCAAACCCGCAACCTTCCGGTCACAGGGCTGGTTCCCTAACCTCCAGCCCACGACTACCCCGTGTTTTATAATAAATACAAACAAGCTAGCATCAGTTTAACTGTCATGCACAGTAATTCAGTCTTTATTCAGCACAAAGTGGAGACGAGTGTTTACCTTTCAGCCAGAAACGAGCCAAACTCAGGGAAGATATCTAGATAGACCGGCTATGCTACGCTAACTTTAGCTGTTAGCTCGTCCTGCTGATCTGACGAGTCCTCTCTGTCGTTATTTATTCTCTTTACAGTAACGATGAGTTACAAAAGTTATATGTCTGCAACAAAATATCTGGCGTCCTACACTGTTAGCAAAAGGTTTCTAGATAGTACCAAAAAAGGGTTTGTAACAATAGTGGAGCCCTTTTTGGTGCTATATAGAACCCTTTTCAAAAAGGTTATATATAAAACCATCTACAGCACTCTGCAATTTGCAAGCTGAAGAACCATTTCAAGATGCAAAGAATCCTTTAATCATGCAAAGGGTTCTTTGAATGTTCATAGCTCCATATAGAACCATTTTCTTTACTAAAGAACCCTCAGAGAACCATCTTTTTTAAGAGTGTACACTCTTAGCAAAAATAGTTTTATATAGTACCAAAAAGGAAAAAGTGTTCGCTGGCTTGTATGAATAGTGGAACCCTTTTTGATGCTTTATAGAACCATTTTCACAAAGGTTCTATATAGAACCAGCTAACAGAAAAAAAGGTTTCTCAAAAGTTCCTCCCACCCTCAATGTGCATCATCAGTAGAGGTTTTCCTAATCTATACATCAGATTCAGTGATGTTTAGGTTTTTCATTATTGACCTATTAAGTGTCCATTTAACAGCGTGATAGGTTGACCTGGAGGTGAGTCTGTGGTGAATTAGCAGAGACGCTAAGTTTCCATTACTTGTTGGCTACATTAGCCTTGAAGCTAAATTAACTTCAGGCACCAAACGTGTCTTTGCTAATCAGCTACAGCCGACAACTGGCTCTCTCTGTAGTCAGTGCTCAGCTTTAGGTGGGGCACCTGCTGGTAGATGGGCTTGAGCTCCTCCAGAGACTGCCTGCTGGTGATGGAGTAGACCAGGATGAAGGCGTGGCCTTTGGAGATGGACAGGCGCTGCATGGCGGGAAACTGGTGGCTGCCGGTGGTGTCGGTAATCTGCAGTGTGCACACGCTCTTATCACAGCTGATCACCTGCCGGTACGTGTCCTCCACCGTGGGGATGTACGTGTCCCGGAACGTTCCCTTCACAAACCGCAGCACCAGCGAGCTTTTCCCAACTCCGCCGGCTCCGAACACCACCACGCGGTAATCGTTACTCTGCTCCGGCATGGCTGAGGAACACACAGGGCACAATCATGGCAGTACAGTGTATAAAAATGTGTGATTGATTTACCTGTGATTACTTGTGATTGGTTAATATGTGATTGTTTAGCTTGTGATTGGTTAAACTGTGATTACTTAGCTTGTTATTGATTATCCTGTGATTGGTTAGCTTATGATTGGTTAAACAGTGATTGGTAAATCTGTGATTGGTATGTATGATTGGTTAGATTTGTTAAGATAGATCACTGCAATAAAACACTTTAACAATGCTGAATCAGATTTCTGACAAGCTGCTTGAGAGAACCTCTCTCTCTCTCTCTCTCTCCCTCTCTCTCCCTCTCTCTCTCTCTCTCTCTCTCTCCTTATCTCTCTCTTAATCTCTCTCTGTCTCTCTATCTTACTTCTTCATCCTCCTTGTGCTGGTAGATAAGTCTGCAGAGGACACTAAGCCTCTGATCAATGCCCGTGTCTGATCAATAATCATGTCTGATCAATACCCCTGCTGATTTTAATCCACCCTCTCCCATCCCTGTGTGAAGGTGTCCCAGGATGCTCTGGGCTCTGAGTGATGCGGATCCTCTCTGTATTTATATAAAGCTCTGTTGGAGCTGCTCTCGGGCCGCTGGGCTTCTCTGAGGCTCTGAGTGATCACAGCCCAACTCCATTATAGATTAACTCTGGCACAAACCCAGATCATAATGCATGGGTTTCGCTTCAAGGTCCCCCCTCTCTCCCCCTCTCCTTCTCCCTCTCTCTCTCTCTCTCTCTCTCCTTCTCTCTCTCTCTCTCTCTCCCTCTCTCTCTCTCCCTCTCTCTCTCTCTCCTTCTCTCTCTCTCTCTCTCCCTCTCTCTCTCTCTCCTTCTCTCTCTCTCTGGCGGAGGAACAGGCTGACGCTGCTGGATCTGGAGTTAACCTTGCTTTGTGGGGAGAACAGGCAGCAGAATGAGTGGAGAATATATCACTGAGGTATTAGAGACTCAGCGCTAAACTCTCACATTCAACATAAGATCCTTCTGCAGAGCTCAGAGAGGGAAACTCACTCCCACAGTTTACAGGTTATCAGCTACACCCGTCAGAGTCATCATAACACTTGTGAGAGCATCTTTTATCAGACAAGTGGATGATGCAGTGATCCAGCACCCCCTGTGACCCAGGAGGATAAGCAGTTTAGATGATGAATGAATGAACGAATGAATAAATGATGCAGTGACCTGAACAGACAAGTAAACTCCAGAACTGTAAACCTCCATTTACGTTTCCATGGTTACACTACCCTCATTTCCATGGTTACAGTATACCCATTTCCATGGTTACATTACCCTCATTTCTATGGTCACACTGCCCTCGTTTCCATGGTTACAGTATCCCCATTTCCATGGTTACACCACTCTCATTTCCATGGTTACAGTATCCTTATTTCCATAGTTACACTAACCCCATTTCCATGGTTACAGTATCCCCATTTCCATGGTTACACTAACCCCATTTCCATGGTTACAGTATCCCCATTTCCATGGTTACACTACTCTCATTTCCATGGTTACACTACCCTAATTTCCATAGTTATACTATCTTCATTTCCATGGTTACAGTATCCCCATTTCCATGGTTACACTACACCATTTCCATGGTTATACTACCCTCATTTCCATGGTTACAGTATCCCCATTGCCACAGTTACACTACTCTCATTTCCATGGTTACAGTATCCCCACTTCCATGGTTACACTACCCTCATTTCCATGGTTACAGTATCCCCATTTCCATGGTTACACTACACCATTTCTATGGTTACAGCATCCCCATTGCCATGGTTACACTACTCTCATTTCCATGGTTACAGTATCCCCATTTCTATGGTTACACCTCCCCCATTTCCATGGTTACAGTATCCCAATTTCTGTGGTTACAGTAACCATGCTTCCATGGTTACACTAACTCATGTCCATGGTTACACTACCCTCATTTCCATGGTTACACTACCACCATTTCTGTGGTTACAGTATCTCCATTTCCATGGTTACACTACTACTCTCATTTCCATGGTTACAGTATCCCCATTTCCATGGTTACACTACCTTCATTTCCATGGTTACAGTATCCCAATTTCTGTGGTTACAGTAACCATGTTTCCATGGTTACACTACTACTATTTCCATGGTTACTCCCAGTGTAATAGGGAGTAGTGTAACCATGGAAACTGGGTTAATGTAACCATTCTTCAATTAGACCACCCCATTTCCACAGATACACTTGGAGTAACACATGCACGAATTATTGAGTGCATGTATTTGAAATAGCTAAACTGCTGTAGCTGAATGGTGGAGCTAAACTGCTGTAGCTGAATGGTGGAGCTAAACTGCTGTAGACTGAATGGTGGGGCTAAACTGCTGTAGCTGAGTGGTGGAGCTAAACTGCTGTAGCTGAATGGTGGAGCTAAACTGCTGTAGCTGAATGGTGGAGCTAAACTGCTGTAGACTGAATGGTGGGGCTAAACTGCTGTAGCTGAACGGTGGAGCTAAACTGCCGTAGCTGAATGGTGGAGCTAAACTGCTGTAGCTGAATGGTGGAGCTAAACTGCTGTAGCTGAATGGTGGAGCTAAACTGCTGTAGACTGAATGGTGGGGCTAAACTGCTGTAGCTGAATGGTGGAGCTAAACTGCCGTAGCTGAATGGGTGGAGCTAAACTGCCGTAGCTGAATGGGTGGAGCTAAACTGCTGTAGCTGAATGGTGGGGCTAAACTGCTGTAGGCTGAATGGGTGGAGCTAAACTGCTGTAGGCTGAATGGGTGGAGCTAAACTGCTGTAGCTGAATGGGTGGAGCTAAACTGCTGTAGGCTGAATGGGTGGAGCTAAACTGCTGTAGCTGAATGGTGGAGCTAAACTGCTGTAGCTGAATGGGTGGAGCTAAACTGCTGTAGCTGAATGGGTGGAGCTAAACTGCTGTAGGCTGAATGGGTGGAGCTAAACTGCTGTAGGCTGAATGGGTGGAGCTAAACTGCTGTAGCTGAATGGGTGGAGCTAAACTGCTGTAGGCTGAATGGTGGAGCTAAACTGCTGTAGCTGAATGGGTGGAGCTAAACTGCTGTAGGCTGAATGGGTGGAGCTAAACTGCTGTAGGCTGAATGGGTGGAGCTAAACTGCTGTAGCTGAATGGGTGGAGCTAAACTGCTGTAGCTGAATGGTGGAGCTAAACTGCTGTAAGCTGAATGGGTGGAGCTAAACTGCTGTAGCTGAATGGTGGAGCTAAACTGCTGTAAGCTGAATGGGTGGAGCTAAACTGCTGTAGGCTGAATGGTGGAGCTAAACTGCTATAGGCTGAATGGACGGGGCTAAACTGCTGTAGGCTGAATGGTGGAGCTAAACTGCTATAGGCTGAATGGACGGGGCTAAACTGCTGTAGGCTGAATGGTGGAGCTAAACTGCTGTAGGCAGAATTGGGGATACAGCTCATCACTGTATTTTATGGTTCTCTAATAGGAGTGGATTATCATGCTGATTCACTGCCCACAGTTTCTGTCTTCTTTCCAAATGTGGAAGTGACCCGTAGAGCGATCAGCATGCTAAACCTCCAAAATAGCCACAATTAGCATCAGAATTACACAGCCATATGTGCTAAATCTGTCCTTCGGCCTGTGTGGGTTACAGTATACAGCGCAGTAAAATCACTCTTCTACACCACCACCTAAAAATATCCTCCACCATCTGCCACCATCTCCACACCAAGCGCTGCCTGGATTAGCGCAGACTCACACTCACGCTTACCTAACGCTGCGTATTAGACTGTCAAAATAACACCTGAAAACCTCAAAATTATTCACTGAATTCAATGAAAAACTACACATTCAAAATTCCTTTAGGAGAAATAACAGTAGACAAAAATGAGACATTATCCACAGAAGAAATAAAGGAGGGATATGAGTCAGGACCAGTTTAATTGGAGTCTGCCCACTGTTTCTTCTTTCATATCGTCTATTTCTAATACAGCTAAAAACAAATAATTCAGCATTTCTAGTCATTTATTCAGAAACTTTAACTTTGGAAAGTAGAATAATGTATTTAATTTAAAAAAATCGAAGAAAACTTACCAAAAACAGGTTTTGGTTAGCATTACTGCTACTGAGAGCTGATTGGTTAGCATTACTGCTACTGAGTGCTGATTGGTTGGCATTACTGCTACTGAGTGCTGATTGGTTGGCATTACTGCTACTGAGAGCTGATTGGTTAGCGTTACTGCTACTGAGTGCTGATTGGTTGGCATTACTGAGTGCTGATTGGTTAGCGTTACTGCTACCAAGCGGCAATTGGTTAGCATTACTGCTACTGAGCGCTGATTGGTTAGCGTTACTGCTACTGAGTGCTGATTGGTTGGCATTACTGCCATTGAGTGTACCCTAGGAACCTGTTCATTTGAACTCGCTCAGGAGCGCCCTCTAGCATCCGAAGACATAACTGAGCAGCAGTTCTCCTCATTAATATGGCTTAAAGCTTATTACAGAAACTATAGAAAATAGTTTGTGGTATTTCCTGGCCTTTCATAGCTGCTGCCATCTACAGTAAATAGGTACTACATCAACAACAACACAGTCCAATCCATTAACTCTGTTTATGTTCCTAAAACATTCACTATAATCTTATAAGACCTGATTTACCTGAAAGTAACCAGAAAGTAATGAGGTGTATCAGTGTTCTGTTATGTGTCGCAAACCTTTCATCATTCTTACATACATATGTTATACATATAAATTATTATTAGTATTAGTGTTAGTATTAGCAATTAATGTGTATTGCGTATCATTATTCTTCTTATTATTATTATTATTATTATTAAGAATAGTGTGAGCGCCAGTGCATCACTCATTCCACATGTACTGTATCTGCTCTTTCTGTACATGTAAGCTTGATATAATGGTAAAAACTTAATAAACATATAAATTGGAAATAAGTAGTACTGATATATGAATAAGCGCAGTCTACTAAGCCTGTCTGTCCTCCAATAAAAGCAAA